TAATTTTTGTGGCAATTTGCACAGTACATGGTACTTTCACTACTTTCTATTGCCATAATCAATAAATTCGTTGCAATAAAAAATTTATCATCTCATAATTTAGCTTATTCTTTTCATATGGACACGAATTAGGATAAATTTTATATGAAATTTATACCTCTCGATGAGATATACAACTTAAATTTTTCATTTAAAATCTTTTAAATACTCAAATTCATTATTCAAATATCAAATAAGCAGTCTCAAATGGAATTATATGCATTTTTAAATAAAATTAATGCGTAGGTGAGTTAGTCATGGAGAGCGCGCGTGAGGGAGAGATCTTGGGTTCGAATCCTAGCCATGACAAGATATCAAAAGAAAATAGTTAGGATGATAAATTAATATTGAAATATTTAATTTGGTACGTAGAACTAATGCCACACATGGAGTGGTGGCAATAGTTATTTATTGCAACGATGTGAAATGTTGCAATATATATTTTTTGCCACATGCATTTTATGGCAATAATAAAATTTATTACAAGTAAATAAAAATCGTTGCAATAACCTATTACCACGCTATTTATTACCACGGCTAGCAACGATTTTAAGATTGTGGCAACATGTATATATTGCAACAATTTTAGTATTGATGCTATGATTTTTTTCGTGGCAATAAATTATTTTTCTAGTAGTGATATTAAGTTCATTTTCTTTTTGCCTTTTCTCATTTATCTCAAAATAAATTTTTTTAAGTAATTATTGCATTGGATTACGGGAACATACGAATAATTATATTGGGATTATATAAAATAAAAAATAATTACATTAGGATTTGATAAAGTATATGTATTCTATTTTTTTATTTTGTAATGAAATGTGTGAGATGTGTGAAAAATAAACCTATTATGGGACGAAAGCAGTACTCTATAATCGACAGCTTCAGTTGTCGAACGCAACCTATTCATCAGTTCCCAACTCGATCTCATTCGTTTTCGCGCGCACGCTTCTCAAACTTCTAAATTGTGTGTTTTTTGAAAAAATTTTATACGAAAGTTACTTTAAAAAATTATATTAATATACTTTTTAATAAAAAATAGCTAATACTAAATTAATCACGTGCTAATTAATCACTTCGTTTTACGTGTTTGGAGGGTAGTGAAAGCTGGGAACTCTTCCTCCAAACACGTAGAAGTGGTTCATTAGCACGTGATTAATTAAAGATTACTTATTTTTTTTAAAAAAATAGATTAATATGATTATTAAAACAATTTTCGTATAGAATTTTTTAAAAACTACAAAACGGTGAGTTTTTTCAAAAAGTTTCTATACGAGATAAAAAATTATATTGATCTATTTTTGAAAAATTAGCTAATACTTAATTAATCACGCGCTAATGGATCGCTGCATTTTAAGTGCAGAGGAGATGGTTTCCCAACCCCATTCGGGTGGGTTTGCTGAAGCTCGTTCCCAGCCAGCACAGGGCGCATGTTAAACAAAGAAATCCGTTAGCACGTGATTAATTAAGTATTAGATAATTTTTTAAAAAAAATGGAAAATATGATTTTATTAAGCAACTTTCGTATAAATTTTTTTTAAAAAAAGGTATTTTAGAAAACGTGCGCACGGAAAATGAGACGAATAGAGTGAGAACCAGCCCTCCCGAACACACCCTCAATTTTTTATTAGAATTTTTTTGGTGATATTGTTTAGCTGTTGTGCACGATGTGTTTACGTGATTATGTGAATACTCGTGTGCACGAGAACATACAACATAGGATAGCTTCCCTCTCAAACAACACCTCTTCATGCTTGCGTTAATTTGCAAGCAATTATTATTTGCTTAATAGTTGTGGCATTATTTAGTTCTATGCATATGCTCCTTAAATCACGGATGAGACGATGATGCATGGATGAAGTTAATTTCACCTTCCGTGCTACCAAAAAAAAAAGAATCTAGACATAGGTAAAAAAAATCTAAATATTGTCTTTATTCGAATTTAACGATAAATCATGCAGTGCTGCTTTGAACGAAGCATTTTATTTACAAGCAAACATATTTTTATATCAGCACACCTCCCTTTCATTTCATACCGGAAAGATGATTATATATCTAAGGTACTCCCTCCGTCCCGTCCAATAATATAACCCATAATATAAGGGATTTTAAAAAAGATTTTTACAAATATAAAAAATGAAAAATTATGATTAAAGTAATTTGGATAATAAAGTAAGTCACAAAGAAAATAAATAATAATTCTAAAACTTTTTAAATAAGACGAATGATCAAACAGTCAAAGAAAAAAAAACTCAAAGGACGGAGGGAGTAGCTTCCACCCCATTTAATCCCCAGAATAGCTACACTAAAATATACTCCAATTTGACAACAGGACGGCACACAATAAGTTGCAACAGACACTTTACTGCTTGTACCAGTGACACTGAGGCAAATATAACACATACTACAACTAGTCGCTAACGCTAAGGCGAACTAACATAAGTGGATTAGGCTAATCTGACACGGATTAGCTAATTAAGACGGCTATGATCCATGCCGACCAAAGGAGCATCAAGCTAGGCGGCGCCGGCGGGCGTGTAGATCGGCACGTACTCCCCGTTGGCGTCGAACGACAGGGACTTGTCCCAAACCTTGAGGATCTGGACCGGCACGACGTGCCAAAACCTAAAATCGGAAGCATACCTGATCCGGATTTCTCGCGGGATCTCCCGAGGGCTCCCGTTCTTGACGACGACGCGGACCGTGGACAGGTCAGGCGCCGCGTAGCAGGCCGGGTCGACCTCGAGCAGATGCCCGAAGCTGGCGCATCTGCGCTCGATGTCGCCGTGGTTCCGCTGATCCTTGGGGTAGTGGCGCAGCGCGACGTGGGCGACGGAGTCCAGCCGCACGCGGAAGCAGTTGCTGGTCTCACCCTCGCGCACGAGCTTGACCGATGCGCCGCCGCCGGCGGCGGCTGAGGCGGCGGCGTCGCCCACCAGCGCGAACGGCTGCTTCTCCATGGAGGCCTCGCGGTCGTCGGGCGAGGCGAAGCGCAACCGTCTTGTCGGCGCCGTGGCTGGGCGGCTGGAGACGGAACTGCAGGCCCGGGAGCACGGCGTGGATGGCGTCGCGGATGGTGGCGGCCGCACGGTCGTCGTCCGCGCGCGCCGCAGCGCCGTCGGCGCCGGCGGCGGGGGCGGTGATGTAGGCGTAGGCGAAGCACCGGGCGAAGTACTTCATCTCCGGGGGTGCCTCGGGCATGTACACGGTGCAGTGGTCCGGGCTGGTGGCGCGTGTGCGGGTGCGACCGCGCTCCGTCTCCGGGATGATGGCGACGGCGGCGGTCGCGGGGACGGGGCGCATGTCCTGCACGAAGCTGTCGACGAAGTCTGGGCGGCCGGAGATGTTGTTGTCCGCCTCCGGGTCCGGCTGGGAGGTAGGGCGAGCGCCGCCTAGCCGCAGCATGTTGCGCAGCGTCTACGCTTGTCGTCGCTAGAGTAATCTCCGAGACGGGTGAATGGGCGCACACACTGATTACACAGTGGCGGAGTAGTGGAGGAAGGAGGGCGCGTCTGTGGGAGGAGTTAAGGGCGACTGGATGCACCGGCGGGTCGGGCGGCGCATTGTGATTGTCACGACGACACGAAGGTCTGAATGACGATTGACAGAGAGTTGGCGTGGAGTGTTGGGCAAAAGATCGTCGGACTTTTTGGAGCACCTTGGGAGTTGAGAAGCTGGAGGAAGAGGTCGAAGGCTTTGGTTCTGCAGACTGCAGTGGGTACTTTGGGGGAAATTTAACTATTTGCCACTCCTGTGACATATGACAATTAACGATTTGCCACATCTGATTAATGACATGTGAATCTTTATGTGTCTATGATATGTGAGTCTAGTAACAAATCGTTAACCACTACTCATAACAGTGACAAATAGTTAAAAACCCCGTCCTTTGGTGCTGCCATGGAGTAAGTGCTGCCATGGAGTAATGACAGTTTGATTGACCGTCAGCTCGGCCACGCAAGCTAGATTGTTCAAATGTGGTGTTACAGTATATATATATATATAGATGAAACCCATATATATGAGTTTTAACTAGCGTAACCTTCACAATGTATATATAGTAAATAATATTAGGAGGAGAGAGGAAATAGAGACAAGTAACATATTTAATTCTCTATGGGCAGCCCATAAGCTTATGGGTAGTTTTTGTTATTTTTTTTACTATGGACTAGTTACACAATGTTACTAGGTAGCTCAATAGAATATTGTATTGTTTATGGACTAACTTTTTACTACACTGTGGATGCTCTCAATGTGGTGTAAAAGTATTCCATAAGCAATAGAATATTCCATTCAGCCATCTATAACTATTGTGCAACTAGTTCATATGGAAAAAATAACAAAAGATACCCATATGCATATGGACTACCCATATAGAATAAATTATATTATCTATCTCTACTCCTCTCTCTTCTCATATTGATACCTTGTATCTATATACATTGTGTAGATTGCTATAGGGAAAAACTATTTATGTGGGTCCCATCCATATGGATCACTTTGCCATATATATTAGTGATGCCCTTAGAGATAGAGTGGTTAAACAATACAAGCAAAAACTTAAAATCCCTTATATTATGGGACGGAGGGAGTACAAATGACGGATTAATTAGGCTTAATAAATTCGTCTCGTAGTTTTCTGGCGGAATCTGTGTAATTTGTTTTTGTTAGTAGACTACATTTAATACTTCAAATGTGTGTCTGTATATTTGATGAGACATACAGGGCCAAAATATTAGTCTCGTTCTTTTATTCAACAAAAGTTGGATGAAGATTAAAATTTTTGTGGCACGTTTTTTAAACCGCTAAACGGTGCGTTTCGTGAGAAAACTTTCTATATAAAGATTGCTCTAAAAATATCATATTAATATATTTTTCAAGTTTATAATAATTAAAACTTAATTAATCATACGTTAATATCAACTCATTTTACATAAAAAAAACTTAATCTTCGTATTCATCATTCGAGAGAAAAGAACACCAGCTGGGAGAACAATATTTCCATCATCCAAGCTCCTTCTGTCCGCCGCGTGGCGTACATCCAAGCGGTGAGGGTTCAATTGTCTCTCTACATCCAAACAACGCGGTGAGGGTTCCAAGCTTGTAAATGAAGACTCGGCTGGCAGTAAATGGAACTCCAATCCAACCACACGCCTGCGCTGTGCTTCTCTTCCCGGCGCTGTCCATTTCTACTACCAAGCTTGTAAATGAAGACTCGGCAACAAACGGAGCGGCAGGCTCGCCGGAGCAGGGTGAAATCCGATCTGCAGATCAAGCAACCCAAGGTTTGTTCCTTTTTTGTTTTTCAATCTTTCCGAGTACACATGAGTGGCTCGGGATTGTGCTGGGCACTGGACATGTAGCAGATGTGCATGAACCGCCCGAAGCGGCGGAGCCCTGGCCGCTAGCTGCTCTGCTGCTGCCGCGCTGGCTGGCTGCGGGGAGCGGAATGCGGTGGCGGTGCTGCCTTGCTCGGCGGCTGCCCCTGTGCTTGCCGCCGCCGCCGGCGGTGCGACGTGAGGGAGAGGGACCGAGGGGTGAGGCAGTGCGGCAGTCTTGGTGTTTGTTTGTCTTGCATGTTGGACTTAAATCTTAAATTCATGAACTTAGGTTATGCATGATCACCTAATTTTCTCTTATGCAGAATTTGGTGGTATACTGACCGGATGAAGAAGCCATTGATCGCCTTAGATGCGTCGGTGTAGTCGTCGTGAGGAGCCGATGATGGAAATCACCGTGCGGTGGCGGCGATGGGAATTCGCCCTTCGCTCCCCTTCAATACGCCTTAAGATCGGTAGTCTGAGGGATTTTGGGAAAGGCTTAGTGTACGTGAGTCGTCACTCGTACCCGGGTCAAGGTTCCCTTTTATATGCGTATTGAGGGGATCGGGGGCGATTCCTTCTCGAGGAAAACGGCGCTTCCGATCATAGCGCTAGAGAGAGAGACGTGCGAGAGAATGCGTGAGACTCGCTCCTCAACGTTAGGGATCGCGTGGGCTTTGGTGGGCTGAGCCCAACGCTCTCCTTTCTGGCTCGGTGGCCAGAAATCAATCTAACATTGCATACTGTAAGCAGGTTGCATTTGGTAAGATTGTGTTTGGTAGTATGTAGTCACCTCCATATTCTAGTAGAGGTCTTATGTTCTAATAGGGGTGAAGGAGGTGAGAATATTTCACTTTTGAGCAGTGAGCACTGTCCAAGCTTGCATAAGAGCCTACACTGCACAAGCCTGGACACAAGTCCTTATTGCATTAGTTGCACATAGTTCATATATGGCAAGCCAGCAAATTTCTAATTCAAGCTTTGTCCATCATGAAAACAAGCAAGTCAGCAAGTATGCTAATCACATCACTTCATTTTTGTAATTCATATAATATGGTGTATCGCAGCAACCTGAATACAAGTCCTAACACTACAGATGTACTAGCATATGTATCTTTGTCTCCCTGTAGGAGCATGGGGAAGAAACGGTTTAATTTGCTTTGTCATTAGCATACTTGCTTTGTCATTAAGGGCTTAAATTGGTTGAGTGGGCCTAGTGGGCTGGCCTGGGGAGGTGGGGAATTTGAAAGCAACTCGCTGCTATCTCTGTACCAGATTCAAAATTGGGCTAAATTAAAGGCTTACAAGTATAAAATTGTGTTTTTCTTTAGGCCATGGTGCCTATGTGTGCCCAAGTGGGGAAAAGAGCTGTGTATAAACTCTTTTCCTACCTTAATTGAAAGGAACAGCTCCTACCACTTCTTAATAATAAAATAACAGAGCCACTCATAATGCAAACACCAGTTGCGGGGTTTCAGTTTTGTGATTTTTTTTTTAAGGAATCGTTCTGTTAAATCTTGACAATGTAAAATCACAAGCAATCAATTTATACCTGGCAAACACTAAAACATATGGGCGGCGGTGCCGCAGGGGCTGCTCGAGAAGCAAACACTAAAACATATGGTCTGGTTCATGCACATCTGATACGGTTCTCACGAGAAGATTACGTGCTTGAGGTTCAAGTATTCTGCATGTACCCTGCCTTGAAGTGAGTTTCGTTTGCTACTACTAGTAGGGTTTTGTGTCATATCGAAATGTATGCTCTTGAACCATGGGGCGTGTTTGGAGGGAATCCCTAGATCCAGATTCTGCTGTATTTACGTAGATGCACAAAACTTATCACAAATTATATGCATTTAAGCCCCTATCTTTATGGCTGTAGCTGAAGCAACAGATTCAGCCAAGGAGTCCGAGCTCAGCCTGTTCTTCCAATCTCCCCTCTCAGCTGAGGAAGAACCGCGAGGTTTATTCCTTTTTTTTCAACTTAACATTTTGGCCATTGACCGTATACATTGCCTCTAATATTGACTCTGGTTTTGATATATAGAATATGGGAAAAGGCATACGTAGATGGACGAAAAAGGAAGAAGATTATCTGGTGCAATTAACTAAGGATCCTGAGATGGCTGAACTGTTTGACGGTGGGAATTATGAAGCTGTGGTGTCCGAATTGAAAGTCCACAACGAGCTGCAGAAGGACAAAGCTGCAGCCATGGACACCTACTTGGGCAGGCATGACAAGAAGAAGGATGATGAGATGGCACGCACGCGGGAGGTGACCGAGCGCATCATGGCATTGAGTAGAGAGTGCTGGGTCACAGAGGAGACCCCAAAGCTGTGGGTTGGTATGTTGAAGATGCTGAAGGATCGAGATGCAGTCAATGTCTTTGAGCTGTCCAATCCTGAAGGAAGAAAGTCCCTCCTTGAACACCTTGCACGGGTCGACAACTAGACCTTCTCATGCTTGCTTTACATGTTAATGTATCTGCCTTAATTGTGTCTCTTGGGTAATGTACGCTTAGGAAGCTATGGGGTGCTATGTCTGTTAGCATTGTCCTGCAAGTAATGTGGGCTACTATTGTGTTGCGAACTATGCCATGCATAATGTTGGCAATTAAATATAAGTTGTAGTAAGGCTGTCTTTCCAAATTCATTTCTTAATATGACGATGTGTGAAAGTTACCGTTGCTGTTTTAATTTATTACAGGAGGACGTGCGGCCTGAACCTGCGGATACAGGGGATGAAGATTTCGAGAAAGAGTTGGATAGAGTTATGATGGAGTACTTTATGGACGATTTTGCGGACACCGTGTTCCTGTACGGTACGTATCATATCGCTACCCACATTGACAAGTACTACAACCGCTCTGATTATAGAGATCTTAGCACAACAATGAGTGGTTTGGAATGGGTAGAGAAGAAGCTTGCAACCGCTCTGATTATAGAGATCTTAGCACAACAATGAGTGGTTTGGAATGGTTAGAAAAGAAGCTTGCAGACAGGAAGCGGTGTTACAACATGTTTAGAATGACCCCTGATATGTTCTATAGTCTTCATGATCTGTTGGTTGACAAATATGAGTTGAAGTCTAGCAATAAATCCAAAAGTATTGAGGCTTTAGGATTGTTTCTTTGGATGGCTGGGGCTCCACAGTCAGTTAGGCAAGCTGAGGACAGATTTGAGCGCTCACTAGGAACAGTGCACAACATGTTTCACAAAGTTCTGGCAAGCCTTTTGAAGCTAGTTGCTGACATAATTAAACCACGTGACCCGCAGTTCACAACTTTACATTCCAGACTGAGGAACCCTAGGTTCTATCCTTATTTCAACGACTGCATTGGGGCAATAGATGGAACCCACATTCCTGTTCAGGTTTCAAAAAGATCTTTTGGTTCAGCACATGTGTCGTAAGAGCATCACAACGCATAATGTGATGGCATGTTGTGACTTTGACATGATTTTTACATTCGTGCTTGCTGGATGGCCGGGTTCAGTACATGACATGAGTGTGTTTGAAGATGCAATGACTACATACTGCAATGTTTTCCCTCATCCACCTCCAGTTACATAGCTACATGTTTTATCGTTGCATTTTCTAACTTCGATTACTTGGCACTTACAGGTGTTTGCTGCTGCATGGAAGTACTATCTGGTGGACTCGGGGTACCCAAACCGGATTGGTTACCTGGCGCCCTACAAGGGGACCAAGTACCATCTTCAAGAGTTTCAAAACGCCGCAGAACCAGAATGTAAACAAGAGGTATTCAACTATGCACATTCCTCCCTTAGAAATGTCATTGAGCGATCATTAAATAGGGGTGAAAGTGTCTTCTTCCAACCATGATTTGAATTTTTGGGAGCCAACTAAATGCCCCAACAAAAGTTGGAAGTTTGAAACTTCACATCCCAATGATTGGGTGTAAAATTTCCAACCAAAGTTTGCATCTAAACACAGTCTATATAAGTTTGCAACTGCACTGAATGAAGAAAGAGTTCTGCTTCTGTTTAATCTTATGGGGACCTATGCAAAAAGGATACAATTCCTCAAGGACATTTTAGTAAGCAGTAAAAGGCTGTTTGGAAAATACAGTATTTATGGAGCCTATAATTTCCCTTGATATGACATTTTCTTATCTTTGTAGGCAAGCAGATTGGTGGAGACACCTTGGCGCGATTTGGCGGACACACCTCCAGGGGAGCAGTGATGTCTTCCTGCCGGTGCATCTTCCTGATGATGGTCTATGTTGTGATCTTTGTGATTGCCTGGTGGTGTATCACGTCTAGCCGTCTAGGATTCCCCTGAACTGATGTTGGCGTAGTTGGTAGTAGTGATTTTCCTTTTGTGATGCATGTTGGTTCGATGAACTTTGTCTGTAATGTTGGTCAAGTGCTGAACTTGAACTGATGTAGGTCTGTAGTAAACTTTAGTTATCCGTTTATCCTTGCCAGCAGTTATCCTTCCTAGTAATCCTTCCGATGTCCGTTGTTTATCTTTCTTGGTCAACCCACTTATCCTTCATGGTTATCCTTGTAACTTCCACACATTTATCCTTCTTGGTTGATCCTTGTTTGTTGTCGAGGTGTGCGGTGGTTTTGCAGAGAAATTAGGATGGGAAAGAAAGGATGCGAAAGAAAGAAATGAGGAGCAGGGATTATAAATACTAACAAGTGCGTGGTCTGCCGCGAGTCAATCTGAATCAAACCACATCGGGTGCGGAACCGTCAGGCTCTTCGGAAATGAGCAGTTCCCATGATTGCCTTCTACTCTCTCCGTATGATGCCGTTGACTTTTCGATAACGTTTGACCATTTGTTTAATTTAAAAATTTTGTACAAATATGAAAATATTTATGTCATGCTTAAAGAATATTTGATAACAAATCAAGTCATAATAAAATAAATGATAATTACATAAATTTTTTTAAATAAGACGAATGGTCAAACGTTTGACAAAAAAGTCAACGATGTCATACATTAAAATATGGAGGTAGTATAAGGGATTTCGAGTTTTTCTTGCAATATTTGATCACTCGTATTATTTAATTTTTTTGAAATTATTATTTATTTTATTTGTTACTTACTTTATTATCCACAGTAATTTAAGCACAACTTTTCGTTTTTTATATTTACAAAACAAATTTGAATAAGATGAGTGCTCAAACGTTAGAAGCAAAAACTAAAAATCCGTAGGACGGAGAGAGTAATCTCTTAACTGCTACTGTAGCTGTGTCTGGAATTATCCTTTTGAACACGGAGCCAAAAGACCCTGCTCCTAATCTCACGGTGAAGTTTCTAGTTATAAACTGCAAATCATTGTATCTGAAGTTTATCATAGACCCATCACCACTGTATATATATATGGCCAATTCTTCTTCTCACATGAAAGAAATATAAAATGGCCACTCCAATACTTACTTCCTCCGTCTCATAATATAAGAGATTTTAATTATTTGCTTGCAACGTTTGATCACTCGTTTTATTAAAAAAAAATAAAATTATTATTTATTTTATTTGTGACTTGCTTTAATATCCATAGTATTTTAAGCATAACTTTTCGTTTTTTATATTTGTAAAAAAAATTAAATAAGATGAGTGATCAAACGTTACAAGCAAAAACTCAAAATCCATATTGTGGGAAGGAGGGAGTACAACACTAAGTCCAACAATGATGATCCCGATGATCGACCAATGTTTCTCCCTTCTTGAGTCAGGAAGTTCTGAGGCAGCCAACCTGATGAAAATATTATCCATCAATCCATCAATATCATGTCGCAGATTTATCATATCGTTGTACCAAAGCAAGGCAAGTACCGTTGAAATGGTAAGCGGTGCAGGAGCAGTTATTCAGACAAGCTGACTCACAGCCATGAACGTTGGCAGCATCTGTGCCTTGTGCCTTGTCTGGCAAATGGACACCAGTGATCATGTACTAGAAACTATCTTGATTCTTCACCTTTGCTGAGTCACCGTGTCCACAATCCACATTGCAACGGGACATTTCTCCTGCAGCCAGCAGTTTGGTTACCAGGATTCTCATTCCTTGGACTCTCGCCGAATACCTTGAGACAGGTGCATGATAACACAGCATTACTGCTACGCTTGCTATATGCTCCACATATTACATACACATCACACATTAATTTTGGTTGTGAAAAATACTCCCTCCGTCCCAAAAAAAAAGACAAACCCTGATTTCCGTGCCCAATATTTGACCGTCCGTCTTATTTAAAAAAATTATGAAAAAAATTAAAAAGACAAGTCATGCACAAAGTATTAATCATGTTTTATCATCTAACAACAATAAAAATACGAATTATAAAAAAAATTTATATAAGACGGACAGTCAAAGTTGGACACGGAAATCCAAGGTTTGCCTTTTTTTGGGATGGAGGGAGTAGAGAACACCTCGATCTCCTGTGTGCGCCGCCGCCGCCACCCCACTCTCCCGCCGACGTGGCTAGCCTCCTCCCCCCCCCCCTTCTCTAGCCAGCTGCCTCCCCCTCTCTCCTAGGCTTGGGAAGAAGAAGAGAAGAACCCATCATCTTTTCACTTACATGTGGACCTTACATATTATTTTTATTTTTATTTTGCTAACTACTCTCTCTATCTACTTTTGATAGTCATATTTCCAAATCTAAAAAATTTATTTTTGATAGGCATATTTCAATCCAACAACATCTTAATGGCTTTATTGGATTTAATACGTGACTCTCCATTCTTCTACACAAGATTGGCTACATGGACATCGAGAAATGTAAATATTAATGAATCGCTTGTTTACGAGGAATGACTGATAGCTTGTTTAAATGGATGATAAGTAGAATCACTTATTGTTGGTCTGTGTACCAAGATGAAATATGACTAAGAGTAGATGGAGGGAGTAGGATATTATGTGAGCTAAACCAGGCATCCATACTGCTAAGGGATCCAAATTATATGATTTTGTATAGTTTAAGGGTGAAGATTTCTAATATTTAAGGGCCTGTTAGGGGAAGCTTCTAGCTGCTGTAGCTTCTCCTAAAACCAGAAGCTCACCCGAATCGTCTAGCTTTTGGTCCAGATTCTGAGAAGCTGTACTTGTAGAATCCAGAAAATGAACTAGAAGCTAGAAGATGAGAAACCTAACTTTTCTAGATTCTCAGAAGCTGGCTACCAACCAGCTGCTTCTCCGAATTTTAAGCCTCCTCCAAACGGATGCGGCTTCCATGTTCCTTTCTTTGTATCCCCGTCCCTGTCCCCGCTACGTGGCTTATGCCTATTCGCTTCTTGTTTGACCGTGGCCCCACCATTCTTCATCACCAAATCAAAACAGAAACAGGGTTTTCAGCCTCCGTTACTTCATTGTTATCTTGGATGGTATCTACCTCCATTGATGTCGTACAGGTGATTTCCGTTTGGCTGCTTTCTTCGCTAATTGGATGCGTGGCGCCTCAACAGCTTTGATTATGTCTGCAAACGCTGTGCTCAGATTACACCAAACTCGGTTACTCGGGTGCTTCCCATGATCGATGAACATGAGACAAAGGTTTTCGGAAGTTTCTCCTTCTATGAGTATGTAGCATAGTTAATCTACTAGGGGCTCATTGCAATTTCATGGGCGGAAGCCTGTAACTGTAAGAGTATATACTTGCAGACTTGCACCAGAGTGTAGGAAAAGAAATAAGAAACAAATAAAAGATGGAAGAAGACATCGCCCTAATATTCAGATTGTTACTGTATCAATTAATGATCTTGTATGACAGTATTGATTTTGTTCTTGCTTCCAGCTAGCTAAGGCTTCCGTTTTGTCCCTGTGATGCTACGCATGCCATTGATGCAATTGCACATGGTTAACAGTAATCTGTTCAGGATGGTTTAGGGCAGGCGACACTTTGCAAGGAAGAACCCAAGAGGACCTTTCATCGCGTTATGAAGAGCATGCACTACCCGATAACTAACGGAGATAGAAAACCCTGTTTCTGTTTTGATTTGGGGATGAAGAACGGTGGGGCCACCGGTCAAACAAGAAGCGAATAGGCGTAAGCCACGTAGCGGGGACAGGGACGGGGATACAAAAGAAGGAACAGGGAAGCCGCATCCCCTCCAAACAGGCCATACGTATGAAACAATCTCAAAGTAAAGTTGATGGACGGCTAGTAAACTTCGCGCGGGAGTAGCCGCCGAGTAGGCTTTTGCCTCTCAGGCTCACAGCCCAAACTATCTTCGGAGGCCACTGGCCCACTGATGTTTTCCACCTCATTGGCTCAGCGCAGACCGCAGAGCTAGCCGCTAGGGTTTGCAGTTCGCAGAGGGGAAATCTCTAGGATTCGCCGAGGTCTATCTGGCGCGAGGAGGGCGAGGAATGGGAAATATCAGGGAGCAGAAGGCGGAGTACGACTAGGCCCCTTTTCGAGGAACCATGGAGGCTAAAGTGCGAGGTGATACACCGCATTATTTGATTTTTTTTCCTGTTATTTATAATACTGATATTGGAAGTAGCCTTCTGCAATGTGCATCACTGCATTGTCGAATTCGATAATCTGATCAGTTTTGTTGGTCTGCTGTGTTTTGATCTTTTGTGTAGTGAAACAAAAAAAAAGTTTAATTTGTTCTCTTTGCCCCGGGGAAAAAAAAATGAAGAGTTCAATATCTGTGTCAACTTCTAATCCTGTTCGGCGCTATATTCTGTTTTCGCCGGGCAAATTGCATCAAGAAAGAAAGTGGATTACAGAAACAAGGATCAATAGTGCTGACTGCACACCGCAGCTTTTCACCACCACGAAAGAACTACAAACAACTTCAAACCTGAACGAATCAGCAAAGTTTCTGAAATATAGTGCTAGTATGTTTTAAACATACATGGAACTAAAAGTAAAGTCTGACAATTTCATTACTCAAGAAGTATAGAAGCAAAATGTGGCAAAGTCATCCTTGTCAAAAAAATAGAGCGATAAAATATGGAACATCTAAATTTTAATTTGTTCGCTTTCTGAAGTTACAAAAGGAAGCTTTACAATGGACAGTCATTATAATTCATCAATAGTTCAGTGTTACACTCTTTTATTTATACACAAGATAAATTTCTTGCAGACTACCTAGTCACTTTCTTCATATGTCAGAAAATTAAGTTTTACTCGCTGCACCTTCAGCAAGAACCTGGAGGTATCTTGGGGCAGGTGGCACTTCGATATCTACCAATCCTTCTAGCATTTGAAGAACTTCTGCCATTGTTGGCCTGGAGCTCTCGTCGTCTTGAATGCACCAGCAAGCAACCTTGCACGCCCTTTCAAGCTCCTCTAAGTTCACATCATCCACCAATTCAGAATCCAACAGTGTAAGCACTTCTCCTTGTACAAGCTTCCTTGCAACTAGCACAGGAAAGAATATTTCTGTTCTTGTCTCTGTTTGTGTTAGATTTCTCTTTCTGGAAATGATCTCAAATAGCATCATCCCATAGCTGAAAACATCTGCCTTTGTTGTTATGGACTCACCACTTATCCACTCCGGTGCAAGATATCCTATTGTGCCCCTAATTGAAGTCAAAACCCTACTGAAATCCCGGCCTAAGAGCTTTGCCATCCCAAAATCTGCCACTTTTGGGGTAAATGACATGTCCAGTAGTATATTCTGTGGTTTAATATCACAATGTATGATGCAATCTCGGCACCCATCATGCAGATAAGCCAATCCCTTGGCAATTCCTATAGCTATTTGATATCTTCTTTTCCAACTCGAAATCGCAGAATTGTTCTGAAACAAGTGATGATCAAGCGAACCGTTGGGCATATACTCGTAGACAAGTAATCTCTTCGCCCCTTCGGAACAAAATCCTAGAAGTCGAATCAAGTTTATGTGCTGAATATTCCCAATGGTGCTCACTTCCGCCCTGAATTGCTTCTCCCCCTGACGAAGCCCCTCTAGTTTCTTAACTGCCAATGTTGTTGCATCTGGTAGAATCCCTTTGTACACAGAGCCAAAAGAACCTACACCCAATCTCTCAGAAAAGTTTCTTGTTAGAAACTGTAGTTCATTGTATTTGAAAGTGATCAATTTCCCATCATCTCGGTTTATTCCAATTGTTCTTCGCCTACCTAGGAAATATAATATACTCACCCCAGAACTGAGAACAAGTCCACCAATGATAATCCCAACAATCCACCATTTCATTTTTCCTGACTGGGGTAATTCTGAGGCAGACAATCTAATAAAGATGCTATTACTCAATTCACCCATGTTATCTTGCAAATTTATCAAACCGTTGTACCAAACCAAGCAAGTACCGTTATAAGAGTAAGCAGAGCAAGAACAATTCTTCAGGCAGGTTAATTCACAGTTGTGAACATTGGTTACATCTCTGGTGTGTGCCATATCTGGCAACTTGACGCTGCTAATCATAAAGAATCTATCTTGCTTTGCCTTCACTGAGCCATTGTTACCACACTGCAATGGGAGGTTTCTCCTGCAGCCTGCTGTCTGATCACCTAGTCTCCAACTGTTTGGATAACTTTCACTGAAGCCCTTGAGACAACTGCATGATAATTCAGCATTTTCGCTACATTTACTATATGTGCCGCACATCCCATAAACACTGCACTTAGCTTTTGGTTGTGCAAAAAAAAGTTGCCATGCTTGCGCTGCATCTGCCCATACCCAAGCTTGAAAATGACCTGACACATCAATGACGCCCCTTGTTAATTGTGCATCATTCTTAACAGTGTAGTTGAAGTACGTCTCCTGGTCATTGTCAACAAACTGGAACGTGTATGCTGAATTGGGATCGCTATTGGTAGGTGACAACTCTGGCACACCAGTGTATGTGTTGCCAGTCCAGTTGCCTGAAGCCCAGTAAACTGACGAGCTATTCCACAGGAGAATATATTGAGTGGCACCACTAGGATCCAACTGAATGGAAAACATTCCTGGTGCTGGATCAGCACGGTCTTTCCAAGAGATCATCCGTTTGATAACTCCGGTTTTCTTGTTCCGACTGAGCTTATTACCTGGCAGCCATGTGTCTGTAAAATCGTCGAAACTCTGCCATAACACCTCAGATGTGTTGGACTCATGTCTGACTACTAGGTTCCCGCTGTCAAGGAGCACAGCAACTGGGGAACTGGCGATTGTATTGTTTACAATATTGGTAGACCATACAGGAGATTCAGAATGATTCACTAGGAGAACAATATTTCCATCATTTAAGATGGTAAGATTTGATGAGGTTGGATCAGTGATCGGTTTATCTCTGTTAGCTACCCAGACTACAGTTTGCACTGGGATTTTGTTGTACCATATGCCTATGTACCACCTGCTAGAAGATCCTCCAGCTAGGAGTAGAAGAAAGAAGAAAAATGTCAGGCCATATGAAAGGTCCCTGAACAAAATTAACTCCTCACATTTAAACATAAACCATGATGAATTGCTTCCTTCTTTTTATAGTTTTACTAAGAATTAAGAAAAAAAATAAATATGACGCTCCAATTATTTTGCTGGGACGGCCCAAGATAGACCGCCCATGGCGCTCCAATTTTTTTTAAGTATCCTTCAATCGGGAAGTGTAATCTCATAGCGTGGTAAATCATCCTAGCGGTTTACATATCTCCACTCTCCAGTCATTACTACTACTGTTTTAATTCTGTTTCTAGATAATTCAAACCTTGCTTCATTTGATTAGCTATTGCATGAATTATATGAATGCTTACTGAGAAATAAAAAGAAAATGCTCACCTGCAGGCTGGAAGAACCCCAGAGCGAACTTGCCATCCTGAGAGATCAATTTCTGATCAGCAGAGAGCGGCTGTTCCGCAGTGAGAGTATCAGCAGCATGCAAGGGAGACTCTTGGAGTGAAAGAACCAATATGAGTAAGAACACAAGGCAGGCAGAAAGACGTGGCGCCATGAACAAAATCTTATTAGCTACCAGCTCACAGTACAGGAATCTGAACTACAGAAACTATGTGCAGCTTCTGCTATCTGGGGCAGAATATGTACTAGCCCTTCAATCAGCTGGTTTGGTACAATTGCTATCCAGTACAACTGCTATCTGGAGTATATTTATTTACGTTGGAAGTCGTTGTTACCGCAAGAAGTCTCGTTTTTCTGGATGCCTCACTGGTCAAAGGCTGAGAATATTTTTTGACCAGGCAGCGGCAGCCGGCCGAATTTATTAAGAAGAAACAGCAGTAACCACATGACACAAAATTGTCAAATAGGTGAAAGAAAAACACCTCAAGGAACAGGACTACGGGGTTGTTTGGTTCACTCCTAAACATTGCCAAACCTCCATGCCAAACATAGCCAAATTTGTGGCTTATAAATTGATGGCCACACCTTAGGCAACTTTTGGCTAAAAGATGGGTGTATGACATGTGGGCCTTTGAATTAAAAAACTTTGGCATGCCACAACTTTGAAAGTGAAGCAAACATGTATCCTAGAAAGTGTGGCAAAGTTTGGCATAGTGAGGGAGTGAACCAAACAGCCCCTACATCACCAGTGTCAGGGTGAGAATATCTCAATTCCCGTCACAGTTTCTGTATCATTATCAATTATTGGTTCAGGGTTGATCTTGACCATATATATAGGAAATTTGATACTCCAGGCCTCTAGAAGAAAACAAGGCCTCTTGGGAATTGAATGCCACATTTTTTCCCCTGAAAAAAAGTCGCACCTATTAGAGCACCCGCAGTGGTAAAGTAAGGTGCTATCTATAAAACATGTACATCTCAGCAATAGACTAGATTAATAGTAAACCACTTCAATAGTATGTCTACATGGGTATCTATAACTCTATAATCCATTACCTCTTTTTTTCTATAGACTATCTACAGGTTAGTAGATAGCTTTGCTCTCTCTCTTCATTTAATCTTTTCCAAGTATGAAAATATGCTGATATGGATTTCTTGTAGAGAGCCTATAGATAACCATTGTGGGTGCCCTTATTTACTCCATCCATTCCAAAATATAAGACATAACCACCCTTGACCCAAAGACCAATAAACAATTATTATCACCTCTTTGTTTGAATCAATCCAACTAATACAATACATGCACCCAATAGAATTAAACATCTTATGAGTGTATGATTTAAAAAATAGTAATTTAGGAGAAAAGAGGTGCAAATTAATTGACATGTATGCATGCACGCCTTATATTATGAAACACCTTTAAAAAGTAGTTGTGTCTTACTCCCTCCGTCCCAAAAAAAGACAAACCCTGGTTTCCGTGTCCAACGTTTGACCATCCGTCTTATTTGAAAAAATTATAAAAAAAATTAAAAAGACAAGTCACGTATAAAATATTAATCATGTTTTATCATCTAACAACAATGAAAATACAAATTATAAAAAATATTCATATAAGACAGACAGTCAAAATTGGACACGAAAATCTAGGATTTATCTTTTTTTGGGACGGAGGGTATATATTTTGGAATGGAGGGAGTATCTTCCTTTCCCTCGAGTGGACTCTTTGCATAGAGATCGTTGCTCTCTCTTTTTTTATATATTTTTCCTGTCATCGTTGCTCTTTGCCATTCATTGTCAATCATATGGACACGTATCTAATACGGTGATTCGACGTTTTCGCCCAGTGGGGCGGTGGTGAAAGTAAGGATGAAAACGTTCGCAAATAGGATGAAAACGGTACGTTTCCAACCGTATCGGTACTATTTTAAGAAAAAAAATATTTTGTTTCCGGTTGTTTCTGAATGTAAAATTTAGTTTTTTTATTTTTTAAATAATTAAATTTAAATATAGAAAATTTCTGACCGCACATATACCGTTTTTGAAAAGAATAAAAAAATGAGATCATTTCAGTCCGGTTTCATCCGTAAGTCAGAGCCGGCGACCGGCCGTTTCATTCCAGGCTTTCAGTCTCGTTCGGATGCTTTTATATGGGCCGAGCCCAAATAAACGGGCCTAGAGATTGCGAGCCCGTGATTTGGTGAGCCCGTGAAATGGGCTGGAAAGCTTCCAGCCCAAATACCCATTCGGCCTGCTTTGCTCTTGACGCACCGGCAGGCAAAGTGCGCTGCAGCCTAGGGTTCGTCGAGCCGAACAGGATTCGGCGATTCGCCATGGATGAGGGGAGGGGAAGAGAGGAGGAAGCAGCATTCGGCGGGATGCAACACCTCTTCGGCGAGGGGCCGCGGGAATCTAAATTGCGAGGTACCACTTATTTCTTTTATTTTCGCCGTGATTTCTAGTTGAAATTTGACTAGTAGTCTTGTGTGACGCAATGTTTCCCCTAGTTTTGGGGCTTCTTTTTTAGGGTACTAGCACAAATGATAATAAGCAGTAGATTTGCAATCTTACGTTTAGGTCGATTGGTGGTGTCAGTGATTTGATCTCTGGTTCAGTAACATCGGTTTAATTGGATATTTGGATAGAAGGGAAATGTTTTCCTTCACTCCTCCTTAAATATATTGCCAACATATTGTCGAATTTTTGGAACATCTGAGAAGTTAGAACTATTCCATAGCTGAAGATATATATTTGTTTTGCCTATGTTATGATGACCTCACCAATTACCAACTTCGGTGCAAGATAATGCTCCCAACTAAGGAGGCATCTTAAAGTGTGAGACAATGCTGCCAATAAAGTACTCCCTCCGTTTCGAAATGTTTGACGCCGTTGACTTTTTAGCACATATTTGACCGTTCGTCTTATTCAAAAACTTTTGTGAAATATGTAAAATTATATGCCTACATAAAAATATATTTAACAATGAATCAAATGATAGGAAAAGAATTAATAATTACTTAAATTTTTTGAATAAGACGAACGGTCAAACATGTGCTAAAAAGTCAACGGCGTCAAACATTTCGAAACGGAGGGAGTAGTACCCAAGGAATGGTCTGAATTCTTTTTCGCTGGGTTTGTCTGAATTGAATTCTGAAACTTCCACATCACAGAGTATAATTGACCCAAGCACATGAACAGAATATTAGTAAGAAATAGCAAACATGAAAGTTGGAACGGTACCATCTGAAACGAAGTGCTAATACATCACAAGCATTACAGTATTTGGCAGTAGTCAGCATTTACTCTTGACCATCAGCAAGAAGTTTGAGATACCTTGGAACAGGTGGTGTTTCGAAAGGCTTTAGCCCTTCCAGAATCTGAATGATCTCTCGCATCGATGGCCTACAGTCAGGGTGATTCTGAATGCACCAGCAGGCAACCTTGAACACCCTGGCGAGCTCCTCTGGGTTTGCATCACCAACCAGCTCAGGGTCGAACAATCTGTGCACCTCTCCTCCTTTTGGAATCTCCTCTGCAATCAACATTGAACTACTTGTGCTAGCTCCGTGCTCTATGTTCCTCTTCCCTGAAATGATCTCAAAAAGCATCATGCCATAGCTGAAAACATCTGCCTTTGAAGTGATAGCCTGGCCGCTTAACCATTCGGGTGCAAGGTACCCTAGTGTTCCTCTCATCGACGTCAGGACTCTGCTGAAATCATGACCTATCAGCTTGGACAGCCCGAAATCTGCTACCTTTGGTGCAAGCGATTCATTAATTAGTATGTTTTGTGGCTTGATATCACAGTGTATGATACAATCCCTGCACCCCTCATGTAGATAAGCTAACCCCTTGGCAATTCCTACGGTGATCTGATACCTTGTGCTCCAACTAAGAGTCAGATTACTCTTTCCAAACAAGTGCTGGTCGAGTGAGCCATTGGGCATGTACTCATAGACAAGCAACTTCTTTGATCCTCCACAACAAAACCCAAGTAGTCGAATCAGGTTTTTGTGATGAATCTTTCCAATGGTGCTCACCTCTGCTCTGAATTCTTTCTCCCCTTGACACAGGCCTTCTAACCTCTTAACTGCTACTGTAGCTGTGTCTGGAATTATCTTTGAACACGGAACCAAAAGACCCTGCTCCTAACTTCTCGGTGAAGTTTCTAGTTATAAACTGCAAATCATTGTATCTGAAGTTTATCATAGACCCATCACCACTATATATATGGCCAATTCTTCTTCTCACATGCAAGAAATATAAAATGGCCACTCCAATACTTACAACAGTAAGTCCAACAATGATGATCCCGATGCCAATGTTTCTCCCTTCTTGAGTCAGGAAGTTCTGAGCCAGCCAACCTGATGAAAATATTATCCATCAATCCATCAATATCATGTCGCAGATTTATCATATTGTTGTACCAAAGCAAGCAAGTACCGTTGAAATGGTAAGCGGTGCTGGAGCAGTTATTCAGACAAGCTGACTAACAGCTGTGAACGTTGGCAGCATCTGTGCCTTGTGCCTTGTCTGGCAAATGGGCACAACCGATCATGTAGAAACCTTCTTGATTCTTCACCTTTGCTGAGTCACCGTGTCCACATTGCAACGGGACATTTCTCCTGCAGCCAGCAGTTTGGTTACCAGGATTCCCATTTCTTGGACTCTCGCTGAATCCCTTGAGACAGGTGCATGATAACACAGCATTACTGCTACACTTGCTATATGCTCCACATATTCCATACACACCACACATTAATTTTGGTTGTGAAAAATAGAGAACCCATGCTTGTGCTGCATCTACCCACACCCAGGCTTGGGTTTGGCCTGACATGTCTATAACATTTCTTGTTAATAATGCATCATCTGTAACATTGTACATGAAGGACACCTCCTGGTCATTGTCGATAAATTGGAATGTATATGCAGAATTGGGATAGGCGCTTGCAGGTGACATCTCTGGCACACCAGTAAATGAGTCGCCGGTCCAGTTGCCACTAGCCCAATACTCAATGGAGTTATTCCATAGAAGAGTGTACTGGTTTGCACCACTTGGATCCATCTGAAGGGAGAACATTCCTGGTGCAGGATCACTTGGTTCCTTCCAAGAGATCAGATGGTTGATCACACCAGTCACCTTATTGCGACTGAGCTTGCTGCCTGGGAGCCATGTGTTTGTAAGATGATCGAAGCTTTGCCATATAGCATTGGAGGTGTTGGAATTTGTCTGATAACTAGGTTCCCTGTGTCAAGGAGTACAGCAACTGTTGAATTAGTAGCTGTGTTGTTTGTAATATTGCTAGACCACACTGGGATTTTAAGATGCTTCACTAGGAGAACAAGATTTCCATCAGCTGAGATGGTAAGGTTTGATGATGCTAGATCGTAGATTGGTGTGTCCCTGTTAGCCACCCAGACCACAGTTTGAACTGTGATTTTGTTGTACCAGATACCTATGTACCACTTCCCACTAGATCCTCCGGCTTCAAAGATTGTATGTACTAAAGGAAGTCACGCGTCAAAAAATGAAGGAGCAAACAGCTGATTTCATAAAAAATACGTATGTATGTGCTTAAATAATAAGAAGACAAGCATGAAGACCATTGTATTTTCTTCACTTTGTCCTACTACTAGTCTACTACTCTTTTCTGTTACAACATTCAGTAAGTTCTAACATGATTATGAATTATTTTCATGCTTTAACTTACTGTAAGGCGCTGCATGTAATTTGCATTTCTACCATGATTTATTAGGATGGTTACAGCAAACTTTATGTGTTGTTCTCGGCCCTGGTCCGAGGTGGTCGTAGGCATGGCGCAAGAGGCCGCCCTTTGGCATCTTGCCCATCCCCTGTCGCCAACGCTTCCTTCTTAGCGTGCTAGGTCGTTTGGTCGTCCCATTGTAATCGCGAGAATAGGCTTAAGTCCTTGTTTTCCTCTTTTCCTCCTTTTCTTCCCAAACCCCCCTTCTTTTCTTTGTTTTGCCATCTGTGTAAATTTTATTCCTCTTAATACAAAAGTGTGCAATCCTTTTGCGTATTCCCGAAAAAAAAGTTTATGTGTTAATATCAGAGCAGCTTCCCTCTGTCACAAACACAACCACTTGACAAAAGGTTTAATTACCTGCAGGCTGGAAGAACCCCAGAGCGAACTTGCCGTCCTGAGAGATCAACTTCTGGTCACCAGAGAGCGGCTGGTTTGCAGTGAGCGTATCAACGGCATGCAAGGGATTCTCATGGATTGAAAGAATCAATACGATCATGGACAGCACGCACGAAGAAAACTGACAAGTTGCCATTTCATGCACAGAGTCTGACAAAGCAAAAAACTGAGATTTCCCGGGCCTATATATCTGATTATCTGCATTCCAAGGTGAGCACATACTACTTATCAAACAAGACGGTCAAGTCTCCAGTACCATAGGTTATCGTGGTTGGATTCACATCTGGGAGAGGCTTGTAGCCGTCGTTCTCAAGATCACGACACCTTGAGTGCCATGCATGCCTGAAGTTAACTTGGCATTTTCTTATTTTTACACTAGAGCATACAGGAGACCCTGTCCAGTCCAGAGCTCAAGGTTAGAGCACCGATAGCCGACATATATATAGCTACTTAATCAGGTGTTTATATTTTTCTTTCACCTTCACATCCATGTCTGACATTTGAGGTTTAATTTCGGCCGAGTTTAGTTCCAAACTTTTTCTTCAAACTTCCAACTTTTCCATCACATCAAAACTTTTCTACACACACAAACTTCCAACTTTTCCGTCGAATCGTTCCAATTTTAACCAAACTTCCAATTTTAACGTGAACTAAACACTTTGATATTCGTTGCCAGATGCCAGCTTTGCACTCCTTTTTATTAGTATTGTTAGATAGCTAGCACTAGCAGCCCACGATACAGGAATGCATGTGTCTACACTCTAGTCTACACCATGGCTGAATCTGGACTGACAGAAACTACTATATATGTTCATCTTCTTCTATCTGGGGCAGAATATGTAGAACTAGTCCTCGTCCTTCCCAATCATGTCGTTTGGTATACAACAATGGTTATCCGGTATTTTGACTATTTTTCCTTACCTTGAAGTCATTGATAGTGGAAAAAGTCTCCTTTTCTGCTTGACTTACTGATTGAAGGCTGATATTCCGTCTGGGTGAAGACATTTTGGTTTTGTCTGTGACGGCCGGCCGAATTTTATTAAGAAGAAATAGCAGCGCAACATGACAATAAGCTGTCAAATAGATGAAAGAAAAAACACCTCAAATAATAACCTCTCTGACATCACCGAATACTAGCTACACTGTCTGGGGTGAAAATGTCTCAATTGCCGTCACAGCTTCTGTCGACATCGATTTTGGTTCAGCATGTAATGGTTTACTGCAAGTGTTTGGCTGTGGTGCACGCTGACATGCAGTTTGTCTTCATTCTCGAAATTTTTACTGAATGGGATAGTACAATTACTAACTGTTTGTGTGGTGACAAATTTTGATAACCAATGCCGTCAACGGTTTGGAAAACATCGGTCTCCATATCTCTTTCTCTTGAAAAAATGGTCGCATCGGCCAGTTGCTCCCCTCCACCATAGTACTATAAATGTGATGCATCTTAGAATTATAAATCTGGATAGACATGAATCTAGATAGAATACATGTCTGGATAAAAATCCTTTATATTTTTAGATGGAGGAAGTACCTCAATTTTTAGCACTATTTTGTTTCTGGCCTTCGATTTGCTCTTGGGCATGTTTTGCAGGCTCCTTACGCGAGCTATAATCCATGGAGAATATGGTCACCTCTAGCAGGCCGTTTGCCTTTCATGGGCTTGTGACAGAAGATAGGAATAAGTTCATCTGAGGTCCCTTAACTTGTCGATGAATCCGGTTTTCGTCCTTCAACCGCCAAACCAGATACAACTGGTCCCTCAACTGTCAAAACCAGTGCAGATGGGGTCCCTCAGTGGTTTGGATAGTGGTTTTGGCGGACGTGACGCCTACGTGGCTAATTTGACTTGGTCTCATCTGATGTGACATTGACATGTCACTTAGGTGGCAGTTCGTTCTAGAAAAATAATAAACCTCATGGGACCCACATGTAAGTGCCACACACAAATTAATAAAAAAGGTGGGGCCCACATGGGCTCACATGTCATTCTTAGGCCCCCCCCTCTTCCTCCTCTCTCTCTCCCCATCTCCCTCTCTTCAACTCTCTCTCCCCTCTCCTCTCTCGCGACGGTGGCGGCCTCTCAGGCGGGGCGGCGGCGGCAGCGGCAGCGGCCTCCTCCGGCGAGGGTAAATTCCCGGCTCCAACGTTTGACCCCGCATCTGCCGATCAGCGCACCACCAAGCTCTCCTCCCCCTTCACCGAAATCCGCAGCCACCTCAAGCCCACCTCTTCCGCAACCCCCAGCCCTCATCCGGCGGGACCTCCGCCGCCGCCTCCTCGAGCCCCAGCCCTTCCTTCGTCGACATCTTCTACGCCAGGCCGGACGTCTGACCGGACGCGCTGCCGACCAAAGATCTGAAGACGAACAACTGTAATGATACATCGTGATTTTGGTTTTCTTGTTTCTCGTTTAGTCGACATTGGTGAATGCCTGATGAAACTGATGGATAACCCTTGGTTACTGATGATGTTGTGGTTGTATTTGGTTTGCTACTAGCTGCAGCACAGAGTATGCCGGTTTTGATGGCCTTTGGCTGATTGGCTCTCAGGCCACAATGGCGTACTTGCTGGGGAAACCGCAACATGAGTTGGTGGAGAGGGTGAGCTGGGAGTGTTGTACATTTGATGCATTGTTGTTTAGATGAAATCGTAGTCAGCAGCAGATTGGTTGGCTCGCGGGCCCCTTCGCCGTCATCGTCGACCTCCTCGCGCCGCTCTTTGTCGACCTCCTGCGGCGCAGACCTGCCGACGCAGTGGTGTTCGACGGCGTCCTCCCGTGGGCTGCCACCGCGGCGGCCAGGCTCCGCATCCCGCGGTACGCGTTCACGGGGACGGGGTGCTTCGCGCTCCCGGTGCAGCGAGCACTGCTGCTCCACGCCCCGCAGGACCGCGTCGCGTCGGACGACGAGCCATTCCTCGTGCCTGGACTCCCCGACGCGGTGCGGCTCTTCCGCCCATAGTTGCCGGAGCTGTGCCTCCGCCGCCGCGCACCGCTGTCTCTCCGTCGTGAAAGAGGAGAGGGGAGAGAGAGTTGAAGTGAGGGAGATGGGAAGAGAGAGGAGGAAGAAGGGGGCTGAGAATGACATATGGGGCCCACGTGGGCCCACCCATTTTTTTATTAATTTGTGTGGCACTGACATATGGGTCCCACAAGGTTTATTATTTTTCTAGAACGAATTACCACGTAAGCGACACTTCAATGTCACATCAGATGAAGACCAAGTTAAATTAGCCACGCAGTCGCCACGTTAGCCAAAACCGCTATCCAAACCGCTGAGGGACCTCATCTGCACTGGTTTTGACAGTTGAGGGACCTGTTGTATCTGGTTTTGCGGTTGAAGGACGAAAATCGGACTCTCGACAAGTTTAGGGACCTAAGATGAACTTATTCCCAGAAGATATTAGGAACTTTATACAGTGTCCCGATCTTCCCCAGCCATTTTCCATGTCGCCCTCTCAGGGCCCCATGGTGTCACTGTCCCACATGATGACGACACAGACTAAGCTGAAAAATGCGGCACAAAATGTTAAAACCAGCATGGGCCATGACCCCGAAGTAACACGATTCTTTGCCACTGGGCCACTTACCACGACGATTTTATTGCCTCTTTAGAAAGGCAATTTTATTGTCTATCTCGGCTATCTGGCTGGAGAAGTAAAGCAAGACGCCAACAGCTAGACAGTGGGCGTTGAGTCGGACCGAAAAAGAAAAATTCGGTCTTTGTCCATGATCTTTTAAAAGATTTGGTCATCTAAAACAAAAGGACTTATCGGTTTTGAAAAGAGAAAATTAGTCTCGGTCTCGATCATCACCGAAATTTTAGAAGATCTTTAATAAAAAAAAATTATATAGACATAAAAACACAAAAATCACAGATCAACTCTCTTCACTATTACAGGTCTTAATAGGCGTGTTGAGCCAAAATTTAGTTTGTTTGGTCTATTCGGTTAATTGAAGGTACTAACCGAATAAAAAAAAGCGAATATTAGGGAAGGACCTAGTATCAAATACCACCTCCGTCCCAAAATACTGGTCGCTTTGAGTTTTTGTTTCTGACATTTGATCATTCGTGTTATTCAAAAAATTATAAAATTATTATTTATTTTGTTTGTGACCTGCTTTATTATCAAAAGTACTTTAAATATGACTTATCTTTTTTTATATTTGCACTAATTTTTCAAATAAGACGAATAGTCAAACGTTGCAAGCAAAAAGTCAAAGGACCACTAATTTAGAACAAAGGTACTACCTCCATCCCAAAATATAGCAACTTTTGGCTATGAATCTGGACACACAGTTGTCCAGATTCATAGCAAAAAATGCTTATATTTTGGGACGAAGGTAGTAGTAATTAGAATGGGTGATGCTTCGAACCTAGGTTGTCTAGCCCACCACTTCGTGGAGTTAGCCAAAAGACCCCTGAACGTTTCTCAAGGTACTAACCGAATAGACTGAGTAAAATTCGGTCTTTCAACACCTAATACTGAACTGGTAACGATTTTTTCAGTCTCGATCCTGGTCTTTTTGGTTCGGTTTTTTTATGCTCACCCCTACATCTAGCAGAGAGAAGCTAAAGAAAGACCAGCTATATTTCTCCGTGCATGTATATGTGTACACCAGCTGTGTCCGATCCGGCTATGTTGCCCAGATAGGCGGGCGCGCGCGTCCGCGTCGGTGTCGCGCGGTCGCGGTCCTCGTATTGATGGCTCTCATGTGAAGCAGGAAACCGACGCGATCGAGAGCGGCAGCAAAGCCAATCCAGCCATCGATCCAGTTCCATTCACTAGTCCGGCTTAATTGCCCCGGAAATGCGCACGCCAGCGGCGCCAACCTTTGCCGCGGGGGCGATCAATGCGACGTTCACCAACCCCGGATCGGGAAACCGGTGCGGTTCGGTGGCGCATCGCCATTTCCCACGTTAATGCTCTTCCAGATCCGCTAATCATGGCCACGCTACTCGCGATCCAGCCACAATCCATCCCCCAATCTCGCTTATTATCCTTGCCCTCGATGGACCGGTTTAAGATTTAAGTGCTTAACAGTGGAGCTAGCGATCGATGTATACGTATTCATAATCATGTTATTGATCATGTCATGTATTGCTGTGTTGATGATGCTCGCTCATGGAATGGAGAAACGGAACGGAACGGGATAACGATCGATGCCGACGTCTAACGGCCCTGCTAGTGCCCGCTGTCTGGGCTGGATTAGGGTTCACAAAAACCGATTGGTGTTTTGAATATCGATCAGTTTTCATAAAATTACTAGGTCTCGATTTGTGAAAATCAGACAATGTTAGCTGGTTTTCATACATCGAAATACTTCGGTTTTCATTGATTTTTGATCGGTTTTCGGAAAACATGTGAGGAACATTTTTTACTTCGGAAACAAAAAGGCATGCAAACCCTAGGCTGGATGCGCTGCACCGATCTTTAAGCATTACTCGCTACTATTGCGTACTATTGCTCGTACACACAGCCACTGCTCCGCCCAGTCGTGTCATTCGCCCACTAGCCAAGTAGCCATATACTACCTCTGTTCTAAAATAACTATAGTCGAGGGTATCCGTGTATCCATCTTATTTATAAAATTATAAAAAAAATTAAAAATAATTAGTCATGCTTTAAATACTATTAATGTTTTATATCTAATAACAATAAAAATACTAATTATAAAAAAAATTTAAATAAAACAAATGGTCAAATGTTGAAGATGAACGGTGTAAAATTATATTTATTTTGAGACAGAGGGAGTATGAGAGTACCGTTACTTGTATAACTTGTAAGACTGGACTTTGCCACTAGAACCCGTTCGTACAACGCATTCACTGCCACAATTAAGCCAGCTGATGACTAACGAGACTGATCGATGCAACAATCGCCATGTGACAATCGGCAAGACACCAGCAAACGTAGGAGTGCTACGTGTGTACTCCCGCCGAGAGATCGGATCGGATCGGATCAGACGACGGCCGCTAGCTAGCTAGGCCGACGGATTAATTATTAGCTACAGTTGAGCTCGCTCGATTCGATCCCTTTTTATGCCGCTCACCTCTCGAATTCTCGATCGCTTTCGGGCGCGCGTCTCCTCCCTCTTGCTTGTTAGTTTCCTCGTAGCTAGTGGGGTGAGGGTGTGTGTTTGGTTGGTGAGCAATGGCGGCGGCTCGCGGTGGAAGACGACGACGACCGTGGTCGTCGTCCTCCTCCTGCGGCTCTCCGTTTCTGATGATGCTGATCAGCTGTTTGCTGTGGCTGCACCGGGAAGCAGCTCCGTCGCTCGCCGCCGATACCGTGACCGTCGGCCGGCCGCTCTCCGGCCGGCAGGTGCTCGTGTCCAGAGGTGGCAAGTTCGCGCTCGGATTCTTCCAGCCAGGTACCTAACCTATTACTATTACCTCTCTAGCTTGATCCATCTCTGCCATGCTTTGCTCTTTCTCTTTATCTCCTTATGTTCGATCGTGTGTAATTTTTGGTGTTGGTTGTTGCTGATCGGGCGTAGTTTTAGTTTAAACTTTTGGCCTGGTTTTGTCTTTGCGTTTTACGGATGATATAAGTTTAACAGGGAGAAGCTGGATCGATCAATTAATTGCACGGTTTGAATGAGAGTTCGTGTGTATGTGATACAGTACACCGCCTATAATTGGTCACTTGGACTGTTTATGTATCAATGCTAGTACAGCTCCTAGGTTCTTACAGAATATACTCCAATAAAAAAAGTAGTTTAATTTTCTAATTTTAATTTAACATATGAATATATAATGGTTTAACATTTGTGCTTTTAAAAATGGAACAATGATGTGATCTTGTATGTGCTTATAAAAAAATATAAATATTAGAGAAGAACCTAATATCAAATAATTAGAAGGTGTGAGGATTCGAACCCATACCGTCTAATCCATCATCTTGTGAAGTTAACTGGAAGACTCTTTGGCGTTTCTCCTTATATGTGCATATATACTCCCATGTATGCTGTTTTTAGATTAGTTTTGTTCCAAGACTATTGGCACCTTTTGCGCATTTGTGGATGTATGCAAATGCAACGTTTTATATTTATCTGAGAATTTTTTGCATCAAGAAACGCACTTACAAGATTACAGGCAGGCCGATATATTATTCCATCATTTATTTAAGTTGAAGCGCATGATTAGAGTTTGGCAGCTCACTGTTTAACTTTTGAACACACTGTTTCGCCAATAAAAGTTTGTCTCGCATCATGTAATGAAAAATTCAAGAGCAGGTAATTGAAGACGAAACTATGACCAACAGATAGCATTAGCTAACAATCGAAAGCAAATTCTTTCCTTTTATTTAACTTTTGGAATAACTCGCAGCCGCGTTCACATAACGATGCTGTAAATTGCCTTTCATGTGAATTCAGTAGTTGACTTGCGTTATTTTCCACAGGTTACATAGTTTAACCTTCTGCATTTCTTTTCTTATCCAAGTTCAAAAATTTACACAGCCCGGTCCCAAAAGTAACAATATAAAACTCTGAATATCAGATTTTACTCAAATTTTAAAACAAAGTTTCCTATGTGGATCAGCGTGTCCCATAATCAGTTTTATTTAATTTGGAGTACTATTTTTTGTTGCAAAGTTATGGTCCAGCCATAAAACTGACAAATTTGACTCGCATTTATTATTATTATTATTATTATTATTATTATTATTATTATTATTATTATTATTATTATTATTATTATTATTATTATTATTATTATTATTATTATTATTATTATTATTATTATTATTATTATTGATGCTGCTGCTTTCTTCGTTTCATAATGTAAGTCATTCTAATATTTTTCACGTTTATATTAACATTAATATGAATCATTAATATCAATATGAATGTGGGAAATGCTAAAATGACTTATATTGTGAAACGGAGGGAGTATTATTATTATCAACATCATCATCATCATCTAACCATTTTTGTCACGTGTGTGATCTGCATCAGATAACTCGTCGCAGCGTTGGTACATGGGCATCTGGTACAACAAAATCCCGGATCACACCAAGGTGTGGGTCGCTAACAGGCGGGCCCCACTCTCCGACCCGGACACGTCACGCCTCGCCATCTCGGCCGACGGCAACATGGTCCTCCTCGACCGTGCCAGGCCACCGGTCTGGTCCACCAACGTCACCACCGGCGTCGCCGCCAACTCCACCGTCGGCGTCATCCTCGACACCGGCAACCTCGTCCTCGCCGACGCGTCGAACACCTCCGTCGTGCTGTGGCAGAGCTTCGACCACTTCGGCGACACGTGGCTCCCCGGCGGCAGGCTCGGCCGGAACAAGCTCACCGGCGAGGTGACGCGCCTGGTGGGGTGGAAAGGCTACGACGACCCGACGCCGGGGATGTTCTCCCTCGAGCTCGACCCCGGCGGCGCCAGCCAGTACGTGATGAGCTGGAACGGCAGCAGCCGGCTGTACTGGAGCAGCGGCAACTGGACCGGCGGCATGTTCAGCTCCGTGCCGGAGATGATGGCGAGCAACGCCGACCCGCTGTCGCTGTACACGTTCAACTACGTCGACGGCGAGAACGAGAGCTACTTCTTCTACGACGTCAAGGGCGAGGTGGTGCTGACGCGGTTCGTCGTCGATGTCACCGGCCAGATCAAGTTCATGACGTGGGTGGACTCCGCCGCGCAGTGGGTGCTCTTCTGGTCGGAGCCCAAGGCGCAGTGCGACGTCTACTCGATCTGCGGGGCGTTCGGCGTCTGCGCCGAGGACGCGCTGCCGGCGTGCAGCTGCCTCCGGGGCTTCCACGCGCGGCAGCCGCGGCGGTGGCTGCAGGGCGACCACACCGCCGGCTGCGCCAGGAGCACCGCCCTGCAATGCGGCGGCGGCGGCGGCGCGCAGCCGGCGGCGCAGAAGACGAAGAGCGACAGGTTCTTCGTGATGCCCAACGTGAACCTGCCCACCGACGGCGTGACCGCGGCGAGCGCGAGCGCTCGCGACTGCGAGCTCGCGTGCCTCGGCAACTGCTCCTGCACCGCGTACTCCTACAACGGCAGCTGCTCGCTCTGGCACGGCGACCTCATCAGCCTCCGGGACACGACCGGCGCCGGCAATGGCGGCGGCCGCAGCATTTCGATCCGCCTGGCCGCGTCCGAATTCTCTGGCAACGGGAACACCAAGAAGCTGATCATCGGGCTCGTCGTCGCCGGAGTCGCCGCCGCGGTGATCCTCGCCGTCGTGGTCACGGTCCTCGTCCGGAGAAGCAGAAGGCTGAAGGCGTTGCGGCGAGTGGAGGGCTCCCTGACGGCGTTCACGTACCGTGACCTGCAGGTCGCGACCAAGAGCTTCTCGGAGAAGCTCGGCGGCGGCGCGTTCGGGTCGGTGTTCAAGGGGTCGCTGCCGGCGGACGGGACGCCGGTGGCGGTGAAGAAGCTGGAAGGTGTTCGTCAGGGGGAGAAGCAGTTCCGTGCGGAGGTGAGCACCATCGGCACGATCCAGCACGTCAACCTGATCAGGCTGCTCGGCTTCTGCACCGAGCGAACACGGCGGCTGCTGGTGTACGAGCACATGCCGAACGGGTCGCTGGACAGGCACCTGTTCGGCCATGGCGGCGGCGTCCTGAGCTGGGAGGCGAGGTACCAGATCGCGCTGGGCGTGGCGAGGGGGCTCGACTACCTGCACGAGAAGTGCAGGGACTGCATCATCCACTGCGACATCAAGCCGGAGAACATCCTCCTGGACGACGCGTTCGCCGCCAAGGTCGCCGACTTCGGGCTCGCCAAGCTGATGGGGCGCGACTTCAGCCGCGTGCTGACGACGATGCGCGGGACCGTGGGCTACCTGGCGCCGGAGTGGATCACCGGCACGGCGATCACGACCAAGGCCGACGTGTTCAGCTACGGGATGATGCTGTTCGAGATCATCTCCGGGAGGAGGAACGTGGAGCAGGGGCAGGACGGCGCGGTGGACTTCTTCCCGGCGACGGCGGCGCGCCTCCTGTTTGACGGCGACCTCAAGGGCGCCGTGGACGGCCGCCTCGCCGGCAACGCCGACATGGGCGAGGTGGAGAGGGCGTGCAAGGTGGCGTGCTGGTGCGTGCAGGACTCGGAGGCGACGAGGCCGTCCATGGGGATGGTGGTGCAGGTGCTCGAGGGGCTCGTCGACGTCAACGCGCCGCCGATGCCGAGGTCGTTCAAGGTGCTCGGCGATCCGTCCAACTACGTCAAGTTCTTCTCGGCGTTGCCGTCGATCTCATGATCACACCGACCGGATTAATCAGCAGGGGATCTGGGATTATTATTACCTGCATATACATATAGCAGAAATGTATACAAGTTGTTAATTAGCTTTCGAGATGTATTCAAGAGCTAGCTACCGATAATATTTTTTCCTCCAAATTATTGGCAGTAGCCTAGCTAGTAGCTACCGCTATATGGTTTTGCAAGAAATATGTAATGGTAGTGAGCTTACTAATCCTCAAATTCTTGCAGAGATAATCATTCACAAGTGCTTGTGCACACTGGATCGTTGAGAGAAGCCCATGGGCCTCATATGACGCCCAAGGCCCATATAGATAATATTCTCTCTTCTCTTTCGGAGAGAAAAAAGGGGAAACAAAGCGGATAGCGCGGAGGCAGCCAATCCTTCGTCTTGCTTGGCTACCTATCTTGCAGGGAGCTCATGCCGCTCGCGGGCATGGCTCTCCTCCAGCTCCGGGAGCACTGCTCCCTCCTCCCAAATCCCCTCAGACCCGCGAGGAATCCTCGCAAGAACCGGCTCTTGCCGCCAAATTCGGCCAAGGTTCCCGGCTTCTCAAGAATCTCAATCCACGGTGCGCCGCCCGCGCCCGAGGCCGCAATCTTGGAGGAAAGGGTGGAGGTGGATGTGGATGTGGAGGCCGCGGTTGTGCCGTGGAGGGGCGCGTTCCTCTTCCCCGTCGCCGCCGCCGTCGTCGCGTCCTGGCCGCTCCCTTCGCTCGCGGCGGAGGCCGGCGGGAAGGTCAGCCTCGAGTCCATCGTGGTGGCCATCGACGACTTCAACAACCGCAACCCCTTCTTCGTGGCCGGGGCGGTGTTCGTCTGGCTCGTGGCGATCCCGCTGGTGCAGGAGTACTTCAAGAAGTACAAGGCGGTGAGCGCCATCGACGCGTTCCGCAAGCTCCGCGACGAGCCGGGGGCGCAGCTGCTGGACATCAGGAGGGGGAAGAGCGTGCGGTTCATGGCGTCGCCGAACCTGAGGCTCGTCGAGAAGAGCGCCGTGCAGGTGGAGTTCGACGAGGAAGACGAGGAGGGATTCGTCAAGGAGGTGCTGGCTAGATTCCCTGACCCGGCGAACACCGTCGTCTGCGTTCTTGACAAGTGAGTACCCCCATGGCACTATGGTTATTGCAAGCTTTGGTGCGATGTGGATGTTACACCTGAATTTTCTGAACGTAGTAAGTGACCTCAAATGCAGTCTCTGGTAAATAGAATCGACATGGATTATGTGCACAGTGCTAGATGTTTAGTATAGTACGCAGTGTGTACATAGCTTAGAGTTTAGAAGTTCAAAGCAATTGTGTTAAATAACTTAGCTCAGGACTTGTACCACAACCCCGAACTTAGGTCCTGTTTGTTTATAACTGTAAGTGGTGGTATATTTGAAAAATAGAGGAATTGTGTATGTAGTTGCCATGTCGAATACAGCCAATTTGTAAATGTGCTAAATATGTTCTTTTATCAAAACCATTATCCGAATGGCTGTAACATTAGTGTTTCTGACACACTGATGAGCCATGATTATTTCTTTTGAGCCCGATGAATTTTTTGGAGAAAAGGCCGAATCCCAGCTTTCATTAGAAAAGCATAAGAGTACAAACAGGTAAATGCTGGGGATTCTTGCTTACAGGTAGCGCCAAACACAGATTAAAAACAAGAAACATGTGCTGCTGGCACAGCGAACAAGCCAGGAAGAACAGCAGAGACACGCGCCAGAAACAGACAGTGAAAAGCAGGAGATTGGTCATGGCAAAACTCCTAACTGTTTGAGCCTCCTGTCCTGCGGATACTGACAAGCAGTGATCCTCTGGCCTTCTCCATCTCGTCCCTCAGCTGCAGCGGCATCAAGTTTTCCCACTGTTTCATAAACGACACAGCTTTGTAAGGCAGTGACACAGCGTTATTCAGCAACTTATCATTAAACACCCAATCGTTCCTCACAAGCCAAATCGCCCAAGCCCCAGCAGCAAAAAGATACCAAAGAATTCTATTTCTAACTCCCCTTTGATTTTGAATTAAGTCTAGGAGGTCACTTCTAGAGGTAGGGATCATGTCCCAATGAAAGACATCTCTGTAGCAGCACCAGAGAAATTGAGCTGGCGGGCATCTAAAAATTATATGATCAACATCTTCCTCTGCTCCACAAAGTTTGCACAGGAGACTGCCAGACCAGTTCATTTTCTTGAGTTGTTTGGCTGCCTGTATTCTCCCCTTTAACATTAGCCACATGAAGACTTTAATTTTTAAAGGGATGGAGGATTTCCATAGCTCCTGAAGTTTAATGTCTTTAATCCCCCCAAAAACCATCTCCCTGTAAAGGGATTTTGTGGTAAACTGTCCTGACTGATTTAATTTCCAGATCATAACATCCTTTTCTGAGTGTAGCTGAATAGGGGCCAACTTCTCCAGCCCGATGAATTTCAGTTATAATTAAATTTCTTGAATCAATAACTAGAGGATAAAGGAAAAGTTTATATGAATTTCACCTGTCAAGATTTTTGGAATTAGGATAATCAAAGGTTTTGCTCTGTTGTTGTATATTACTCCTGTGGAACTCTTTGATATTATGTCACGTTCCACTACTGACTTAATTTTTATGTTGTGTAAGGTAGCTTTGATGGTAATTCTATGAAAGTGGCCGAGCTGCTGTTCAACAATGGTTTCAAGGAAGCTTATGCAATCAAAGGTGGGCTGAGAGGCCCAGAAGGGTGGCAGGTTTGTTATGATACCGTTGGTCTGAAGTAATATATTTGTTGAAAGCAAACACAACATATCTCACCATTTCTAAATCTCTATCTTCTCAGGCAATTCAAGAGAAATATCTTCCCCCATCTGTTCATGTTGTTCCAAGGAAGAAGAGCAAAGAATCAGAGGACTCTGATGTTAGCGCTGATGGAACAGATGACCAGCTGGAAGTGAATGGAAAATTATTAGCTACCCCTAATAGTTCTGTAGTCAATACAGGCAATGGAGCTGAAGATAGTACCGAGAAGCCCAATGGGAGTACTTCAGCCATAAAGCGTGCAAGCCGGAGACCATTATCACCATATCCAAATGTTTGACCCTGTTCCTTGCTATGCAATAATTTAGAAGATTCTGTGTTTTATTTAGCATTTAATATAGTGATAGCATTTGACATGCCTTACGGCCTTCCTTTATACCAACAATGAACTCCATGCAAAATTATTTGTTCCCACTTCTTTCACAAAGGCATGCAATACTGGATCTACTAATCCAAATTACTACCTTTTGTCCATCTGAAATTGAGAAATATGGAGGAATATAATTAACTCTCATGATCTCATCCATGTTTGTGCGGTGTATGCTTCTAGACTACAATTTTGATTTATCAACATAGTATTGCCCTTGAAAACTATCAGACTCACTTTGGTACTTAGGTCATGATTCATGAAAACAAATATTATAAGCACTAGTTGTTCCAAAATTCAGCATTTTATTTAAAAATGATTTGGTCCTGTAGAAATGTCACCAACATGATAGGATTGCAGTCCACATTCCAAATGCTCTGTTCAAAAGCTTGTTCTTCTTTATTATTACTAGAAGAAAAACTATGGCACAATACATAACATCCATTATGTTATGCAGTACCCTGACTTGAAGCCACCATCATCGCCGACACCATCAAAGCCAGAGAGGTAGTAGAACAATAAAGGGAAATAAGAAATCAGACAAAGAGAAGAAATCAGAGGACAAGGGACTAATGTTGCAAGAACAGTCAGTCATTTCCGGCATAACCATTTTGATATACTTGTAATCGTGAATATAGAGGCGATCAATGAGGTTCACAATGCAGAAGACCATTGCTGTTACTGACATCATGGTGAATCTTATGTTTGTTGGATGTTGTATTTTTCCCCCCATTTCTTTTGTCATGTTCATTGTTTGTAGGTTGCAGCGCGTTAAAAAGTTAGTGTGAAATTCGAAATATCTGAACTGCATTAGCGTTATGACTCATGAGATAATCCCAAGTTTGGGATCAAGTGATGTTGGTATCATCAGCATAAATGATGAAGTATGTGTGACCATATTCATATGCTGACAGGTTATAAAAATAGATAGTATAGAACTGCAGATCCCATGAAAAACTCAATCGGAATATGAATCAGAAGTTCAGAGCAAAAAACAAAAACAGAGACGGTAGCCGGTGACACTGCAGTCTTCACTCTTCAGTTTGTCTCTAAAATATCTCCATTTCCACTGTGTAGTAGTATATGATACACTTGATACTGCTCCACAATGCATTGACCCTTACCCTCACTGTTCATCTTACACCAGCTAGCCACCGGCGATCGACATAGGCACATAGCACCATAACTCCTCTTGCCGAATGCCGATGACATACTGCAGTGGCAACGCTGCACTCCTCTCAACTCCAGGCTTAAATTGCCACTGTTCAGGCCGTCTTGTTCTCTCAAATCGCTATACATACACATATGCAACACTGCAGCATTGACATTCCTCTCTCTCTCTCTCTCTCTCTCTCTCTGCAACTCTCATGGTGTCGTAGAAATATTGACGACGGCATGGAGAGGCCAACGGCAGTTGATAGCTTTCCATGCCCTGCGAGTTGTCCAAATGCCCATTCCGACCGGGCAATGGACCACTGGAATTATCCTGCAGATAATGCTTATCACTCGTCCTGCTCCTGCATTCCAGCATCGTATTCCACGTTAGCGCTAGGGAGGAATAGACTGAATATTTTTTGACAATTTGGACCTTTTAAATACTTATTTTTTTAAAAAAAAATCATATTCTAACAAATACAGCATCTCGACGATATGTATTTCGGTGCCACAAACTTTGGAGTTGAGAACATTGCCTCGTGGTCATGGACCATATCAAGGGCTCAAGGCTCAGTGTCAAACTGTCAATACTATTGGCACTGACATCATATACATTGTTAAAAAAATTAACAGATCCAAGTAAACAATAGTGCTATCATAGCGTGGTGGTGTGATGTCCACTCTTTTGTGTTTGAGGTACCGAATTTGACTCCTAGAAGCAGCGGAGGCTTTTTATTCGCAATTGTTTTCTTTTTTGGTAGTTTATCCCCCACGGATAGAGTTACATTTTCAAAGCACATAAATTTTTTTTCCAATGAAAACATATTTGAATTTGAAGTATACCTATCATGATGTAAAGGTTATCTAACCACCAGACTACTTGTCATCTTGTGTGTGATGAAACACATTCACATTTTATAGTGTATATATATAGTTAACGTCAATGTCATTGGTGCTGAGCCCCTTGATGATGGAACTATAAGCTTTTCAGAGCCCGCGCAAACGCATGAGTGAGTGACGGACTTGAAAAGCCACCTACAAACGCTTTACATCCAAAAAAGTATTTTTTCCATCAACTAAAAAAGAACAGTTATAGATATTTTTAATCACGGGAAATTCAAAGATATTATCTGAGCCTTAGATCCACCCTTTAGAACCACTCCTATCTTGGATTCCGTGCATGCGTGGTAAAATTCTCAGCGCCAAAATGTATGACGTTGAGATGTTCTAATTCACTGTCGAAGACGTTGTGTTGAGGTTAAAATCTTTTTATAAAAAGGTTTCTATAGGGGCTATTTCTCAAGTGAAGTAGTACTAGGTTTTTAGAAGACCAAAACTTAAAATTTCAGAAGAACAGCCGGATGATGAGCTTTTCGGTTCGGTATCTCTCACTCGCCCCCCTACGATCTCACCGTGCGGTTATTTCCGTGAGCTTTGTGAGGGAGGGCTTTGTCAGGGTTTCCGAGGCTCAAAAGATTTTCATTAATTGTACTACCACGTGCAGGGTGCAATCCACCCATTAAATCCGTGTCAGATGCATCACCGGGCCGCGTCACGCAGCCGATCGTACGACGTCGGCGACGAGAGACGCGCCAACGTGGGTCGGTCAGAACCCATGTAATAGTACGAACGAGAATGTAGATGCAACGCCTGCGTACGTACGCGTGCACCCCACCGTACGTCGCGTATGCCGCCCGCCCCGCCCCAACCCAACCCAACCACTCGCTGCCACGTTACTACTATTCGTCCGTGGAATGGAAACGCTGCTTCCCCCCGAACCCGAATCCTTGTGCCGGCCGCACACGCCGCGCGCGCCGGAAAAACTCGATCGATCACTGGGAGGCGCGCGTGCGATCGCGCTCTCGCGTCGGGGAGGGGAGAGAGCTAGGTGATGAGAGCCGCAGCGGCAGAAGCGACTCGCGTTTACCGGCCGCGGGGGCGTCGCGTACGCAGCAGCTAGCGTCTGTTAATTTCTCTCTCGCGCCGTCGCGCGCGCCTGCACGCCTAGCTCTGCGCACCGTTGAGCTAGCCACGGTAGCTGCTGCCACGCGCGCGCGACGCAACAGCGCGCGGGGGAGCGCGGGGGAGCGTCGGTGGTCATGATCATTGTTGCCGTCTCGTCCGTTCCTCCGGCCGCGCGCCATCATTGATGATTGCATCGATCGATCGAGTTATACATGTACTCACTCCCCGTTCCTTATTAATGGAAGGAATGCTGCTCAATGCTGCTGCTGTGTTTGTGTCACTCTGTCCGAGAAGCAGTTCATACGCGCGGCCGTCGAAACAGGAGGTGAGGAATTCTGCCCTTGCTCGAAACAGTTGATGCCTGTTTCGAAAACAGAAAAGAAAAATTCTCTCTCTCTCAAAATCATACTACTAGTACGTGTGCAAACAGTACTATCCAGCAAGCCTAAGTTTGTTGGCACGCATTTTATGATCCAGAAGTAGGTACCATGTTCTTGCTAAGAAAACGCTGAGAGGTTTTATTCCTGTCCCACCGAGGATCCATCTAGATAAGAGTTCACCAAGCCGTTTTGGAGGGGGTTATCGTCACTCCGCGGCTTGCTGGTTATCGCAGTAACTACATGGTTACTGTAAAAACTAAGCGATTATCATGAGGTATACCATGATTTCAAAAATTGAAAAGGTTATGGCACGTGATAACTATGTTAACCGTACAATTTTATAAACCCACACACTCAAAAGCCTATATCGCGTAGGTACGTATGAAAATTTGATGTTCTATCAGGCCCATGGGCCATGGACAAAAATCACTGCCAATCAACCATGCACTGCGTTTTACTCCTCTACCCAACATGTCCACATCAGAGATCACACCATAGTGTACAAGTACTCTACTGTTGATATCCACATTGACTACAGTAACCATATCTCTGTTTTCAAATATAGTCTTTTGAGTGGCTATATAACTTAGGTTTAATAATTGCAAATGATTGTCTTTAAACTGGTCTACATATCTGGATTATTTAACAATTGCAAGTCAAACTGAAACCGAAGTCATGCATGCATGGACAAAGTGTGCACTGTGAGTGCGTGTGCGAGAGACAACCTAAGGTTTAGATAGCTATAGTGAGCCATGGGACGAGCCTGTCTGCCTGTGTGTTGCAACTGTTGATGGTATGCCCGTATAGTGCACTGGTATATGCCGCCATGAATGCAGGGTCGTGTGCATTGAATATCTCCTGCATGGAGGACGACATTTTTGGGAGGCCTGCCCTCCTGCCTTCTCTCATTGATGGCATCACACACTCTCTCTCTCTCTTTCTTGTGTTATTTGGTCCTGCCACTCGCTGCAACATGCCTTCTGCCTCCTCAAACAGAAGACCCAAAGCTTTAGAGAGAGAGAAAGACGCAAGCTACAGTACAGAGAGGGATCAAAACCGAATGACACACTCCAAGTGTGATATTGGTCAACCACTAAGCAGTAGTACTAGTACCACTGTACTAGTAGCCTTTATGCAGAGTTCAGAAAAAATACAGTGCTACTAGTAATATCTTGCCATCGATCGATCATCGATGGATCATGGATCATCATCATCATCATCGATCAGCTAGCACACTAGCACACTGTGTGATCTGCAAAAAATGGTGTGTGGCAGCGAGCTATGGCTAGCTTACCACTGCCACAGATATATGCATCATGCACTCACGGCATGCATGCGCCATGTCATGAGCGAAGCACGGCAAACACACCAAGCCACCACAGCGGGTTTTTCTGTAGCGTATCATCGGCTGCAGGGGGATACAATTATCTGTGCGTTTTGCAGGGCTGCATTCACGTTGACTGCCTTGGGGATTATTCGATCTTGGCTTATTGCAGGTGATCAAAAGGCTCGTTTGTATTGCAGTACTCACCAGGCCGTCTTGCTAGTAGAGTGTCATGAACGGGATCGGAGTAGCTATACTAGTATACCGGTAGCTCGCGGTGCGTGATCCTTTTCGGGTTCACCGTTGAAAGATTGCAATCTAGAGACTGACAAGTAGCTCATCACAGGATGTGACATTTTGAAAGACCCCTCCAGGTTTCATTTAACCTAGTACTACTATGGAGGATGTGATGAATCTTCAGAGATGTTGCATGGAAGTACTAGCAGAGTAGTACTGCTCCCCTACGAAGGGGCTGAGATATCAAAGCTGAGATATTGGAGCAGACTTTTATTACCTTCCTCTTCCCTGCCATTTTGCCTTTGGTGCAAGCAAACTCACTGCGAGAGACACAGAAACAGGAGAGCTGCATGCACTATACATAAATGCAGCTTAGGAGTAGGTCTGTACATACATCCTCACCATTTGTCACTTGATCTAGGCCAGGCTGTGTTTAGTTCACACTAAAATTAAAAGTTTGATTGAAATTGGAATGATAGCTGTGTTTAGATTGGTCCAAAGTTTAGAATTTGGCCATCAGCATGCCATGTCAAAGCCAAGATACGACACCAGATTTGTCAAACAGATTCAACATTAATCTGAAGGTCAACTGCAGCATCGACTCTAGCTAGCCTCTATATAGGAGCAGTATCAATATAGTAGTATTAATTAAGGTAGCCGTCCAAGTGCTAAAATCAGGGACAAGCATGCACACAGTACAGCAACAATCCCAGCAACAGATCAAGGCACAAATAAAATGTTCGACATTGCGGATGATCGATTGAAAGAAAAAGATAAGCATTGACAAGGCAAATTAACAGAGTGAACACGCATGATCTTCATGTAAAATAGACCGAGCAATCCTCCTAAGCATGAGCCTTAATTTACGATCCTTTTCACCGCTTCAATTTCCAGAACTTAGGGAATTTTAATTTCCTAGTCAGTAACCTGCAAAACAATGGTAAAAGTGAATCAACATGTTAAATTACAAATTACGTATTTATATATCCAGAGCTCTTTTTTCCCTACCATATAGAAAAAGTACTCCTAAACATTTCTAAATCCCCTTTACTTTAAGACTAAGACCAGGAGAGATCTATTCACATTTCACAAGCTTTACATGATCATCACTGAGAATACAAAGACACAAATATATGCGATACATAGTTTAGACTCAGCTAGAAGATTTCATAGACGATTCCTTTTTACACTCAGCTAGAAGTGCTAAATTGAGCGCTCCCAGACCAGCCCAAATTAACTGGTTTGATTAGCATGGATATTCAAAATTGTTTCAAAGCAACGCACGCATGTTAATATTCCTCGGCATTTTCACTCACTTTCATTGCATTTGGCAAGCAAAATTGCAAGCATACACAAGACATGAAATATAAGTAGAGCTAGTTCAACTGAATTGCTGCAGGCTTTGCTAGTAAGCTTTTGTGATACTTGACAGAAAACACCCGTATTGATTTCAGCAACTTTTGGCAGGAGCTTTCTAAACCTACAGTAAAATACTTTCTGTAAACTAGCTCAACCTTTTCGTCTTTTCACAAGTGAAGTTGTAGTACATTGCAGTACACCAGGCATGACATGCTATCATTGCTAGCTGTGCATCCATGGCATGCTACAGCACATGAGGTCAAACTATGGATGTCCTTCGAATAATTCTATCGGGAAATTTTACACGAAACATTGTCAGGTAACCATGATATGCATGATGGTAATTAAGGTTCGTGCACTATATATAGTACTGTGAAGTAGTGCATGCATGGACACTCTAACAAGTACTGCCCGATTAAAAGCTAGCTAAACAGTGATGCGAAAACAGAAGCCGGATTCTTAATGAACACAAGTGTAGAGGAATTAAGTTAAGTACAAAGGCCGGATTGCAATCAAAGTTTCTGAGAATTATAGGATGGCTGATTGGCTAGCGACAAATTAAGCACGAAATTAGCACCACATAATGCGCCATATTTAGCAACTTAACATCGTATTATACTCCATGCATCGCTAGCTGCACACACACTCAGACTTATAGCTAATTAATAGTGTTATCTCAAGAACAGTAGCTAAAAGAAGACAAGAGCACAGTGCCACAGTACTGCAAGAATGCTAAGCCACACCTGACATGCAGAGACGAACACAACAACCGCCGAATCAAGCGCTCCCAACTACTGGCCGGCGCCTTGCCTCTCGTCGCTGCCGGCGATGCCGGACTTCAAGAACGGCGCGCCGCCGAGCGCGCCGAGCCCGGACATATGCCCGCCGCCGGCCATCGACGTCGAGTACCCGAACTCGTAGCCGCCGTTGCCGCCGAGCCTCGCGATGGGCTCCCCTTCGTAGCTCCTCGACAGCATGTGGACGGCCGAGAACTGCTGCTCTTGCCCGAAGCACGCCGCCGCGCCACCGACGGAGGCGAGCGCCGCCGAGTGCCCGACGTTGATGAAGCTCTGCGCGCCGTTCGGCACCGCGTTGCCGATGAACTCCGCCATCGAGTGCGGCCCGTTATTCGTCCCCGTCGACGCGGAAGCCGCCGCCGCCGCAGCCGCCGCCTGAACCAAGAACGGCACATCATCAACGACAAATGTAACCGATGTACGTGGCGGCGTGATCGATGGAAGACAAGCTACGGCGTGTGTGTGTGATTGATCTGACCTGCTGGTACTTGGAGAGCTCGAACTTGGCGCGGGCGAGGTCCTGCTGGAGCTGGCGGAGGTTGCGCTGGAGGATGGAGATGATGGCGACGCAGCCGTAGACGGGGTCGCGGAGGCGCATGTCGGCCTCGTAGGCGAGCGAGTTCACGGCGTCCTCGCGCTGGTAGGGGTGCAGCTCGTTCAGCAGCTTGGTCACGTTGCTCGCGCCGAAGACGCGGTGCACGTGGACGAACTTCTGCGGGTTGTCCGGCGGGAAGTAGGGCGCGAACACGCAGTCGGGCTGGCACTTGCGGCGGAGGAACTTGCACGCCGCGCACGGCGACCCCGTGCCGCACGCCGCCGTGTTCGCCGCCGCCGACGCCGACGCCGACGCTATGGTGATCACCGACCCCGACGGCGCCGGCACGGACGACGCTGACGATGACGCCATCCTCCTCGCCTGGGAAAGAAAAAGTGCAAAAGGTAAGAAGAGCCGATCTTTTTAATATTGTTCTCTATTACCATAGATAGATTTTTTCTTTTCCTCATAAAGCTATGGAAGTTGCTAGAAAACCAGCAGGGCATAAACAGAAAGAACCATCTGTATTATTGTATTGCTAAACATGGAGAACACTGCCTAAAAAGCACAAGAAAATAAGCTACTAAAAATGCACATACATTAGTGCCCCTTCCATCTAAAACATGAAAACAAATAAGGGGACCAAAATCACGACATAATTTCTTTCCATTCAAAACAAAAGGGAGAAAACAAGTTAAAAAAAAGAATTATTTTCCGAACTGTAACACAAAGTCTGAAACTTTGGTTCCTCAGTGAAATTGCAAGAGTTTGTTCGTATGAGACACTCCATCTGAATATCTTCATCTAACTAGCTAGCTAACTGAAGAAACGTCAAGGCATGTGCTTTTCTTGGATCAATAGCCCCAGCTTTGTAGTCAATCAGAACCAGCAAGAAAAAGAGTGTGACTGAACTATAATAATAGACTTAGTAGTAAGACACAACCAAGGAAGAGAAAAAAAAACAAAGAGGAGAGAGGAGGATAAAGAAAGCAAAGATGTTATCGGATCCGACGCCGGCGGTGGATGGCTGCGTACGTACCCTTTTTAGGCGCGATCTTTTTTCCCGCTATCCCTGCGCCGCCGCGCCGCCGCCTCCGCCGGCCGGTATCTCCTCTCTCCTGATCTCACCGTGTTCTCCTCCTCCTCGCCTTCCACCACTTCCGGCCGGGCCGTTCTCTCCTTTTAAACCGAAAACTTCTCCCTTTTTCCCCCTAGCTACTACCTCGCCCCGTTTTGTTTGGGTTTCTGTTCTAGGGAGAGAGAGAGGAGAGTGAGAGAGCCACCAAAAGATGGTGAGTACTGTATGTTGCGAAGATGGGGGGAGGAAATGAGAAGGGGAGGAATTTGATATCTGTGTTCTTTATTGGATGAGTAGCCATTAAGGAAGAGAGAGAGGGAGAGGGGGGCAGAAAGAATGGAATGAAGGGATATACGGCCGGATTGGGGACCGGACATCCCACAGCCAATTTGATCCTCTGCATGTAATAAGATCAATTAGGGCTGTCAAGTAGCAACATCGGATAACATAGTAATGCAACTTTACACTGTCGATATGAGGGCATTATTCGGGACCCTGGATCTGTGGTAAATATACCATTTTTTTAAAAAAAAAGAAAATCAAATTTGAAACAAAAATAAATAAATAAATAAATGCTCTCTCCTTTGTTCGATGACACGTTGGAAGACGTGTGCACACACATATACTCAGCTACCCTCGTATGCATCTCCTAACACACTTACATTTAAATGTGTTCTCAACTATACGCTCAAAGAAAGGGAGCGTGTAATACAAGTCCTAGGCATCAAAATTTGAACTCTGATGACTATAGTCAAGCATACACCAATGACACTCAACACCATATTATATACACCAACGACTTCAACACCATACTAATTCAACTTTCACCATTAACAAAATCCAAATGTTAGCTAGGTAATGATTACCAAAAGTAATACAATTATAGTAATGTTGTAGAACACATTGATAAACACATCACGTTTTCAAGATATATATATATATATATATATATATATATATATATATATATATAATATGTTTGAAATATTTGAATTTATTTGCTATAAGATCGATGAGCGATCAAATTAGTTTGACGATGAATAATAACCAATGAAAGTTACTCTGATGACTATAGTCAAGCATACACCAATGACACTCAACACCATATTATATACACCAACGACTTCAACACCATACTAATTCAACTTTCACCATTAACAAAATCCAAATGTTAGCTAGGTAATGATTACCAAAAGTAATACAATTATAGTAATGTTGTAGAACACATTGATAAACACATCACGTTTTCAAGATATATATATATATATATATATATATATAATATGTTTGAAATATTTGAATTTATTTGCTATAAGATCGATGAGCGATCAAATTAGTTTGACGATGAATAATAACCAATGAAAGTTATTTGAGAATGGACAGAGGATAATAAATAGTAGTAGGAGATATTAGAACATGAAACCCTCAAATCATATTTTTAAAAAGAAATGGTATCATTTTTTCTGTAGAACATGAAAACAAATACCATATCAATATATTGCCGCGTAAATGTGTATTGTAACATGAACGTCACAATGTTAATTTGCACAAAATATATAGGAATCACAAGTTCCATTGTGGTTAACCCTTGAGAATTTGTTTGGATCTTTTATTAGTCAACTACTCTGCCCCCAATATTGTTTAATTTGACAATGAATTTATAGGAAGTGGATTTTTGTCCCTCGATGGGATATCCCCTCGTTTTGTGCATATCGATAAAAAAGCTATCGATTTTTTTAAAAAAAATTATCAAGATAGATCAATATATGATATATCTTTTCGCAAACATGCGAGTTAAAATTCGACTTATACAATTCGAAACAAAAATAACTTGTATAAGTTGAATTTAAATTTGCATATTTGTGAAGTGACATATCACTATTTTTTTCAAATTTTTTGATGACTTTTTAAGTGACATGCAAAAATGAGGAGATATCCCCTTAAGGGATGATTTGAGTTTTCCGAATTTATATCAAATAAATTATTGTTTCCTTTTTGTTAGAAAAATTTATATATGACAAACATGTGCTTGATTGTAAGATATTGTTTTCTTAAAAAAAATACGTCTCTACCATATTTTCATACAGTAATATGTTTGTGCATTACAAAGGGCTCATATGACTATGTAAGAGCTGCTCTGGCACATACAATGGGCTAGAAGTGTGAATGGAGGACAGGTGGTGGTTGAGTTTCGTACCATCGTGTGCACAGAGCGAGGAGGAGAGAACCGACCACTTCGCTTTTAAGTAGTACGTAGATCGAGAAATATTAGTTGCATTATACTTCTCTTGTATGAGAACTCGGTTGCCACTACCACCACGGAAGATGATTTTAGATAAAAGCGTTAATCTAAAACTGGCTTTTAGAAATAACGAAACAAAATCATTTTTGTCCTAAAACCGATTGCATGCGAATTGTACATGAGCATCCGATTGGCTTGCATGGCAATCAAGCACTAGTCCTTGCATGCCAAAGCAATAAATCTTCGTGCAAAACCAATTGTGCCTTGCATGCAGTGGAAGAGATACATATTTCTTGCATACTAGAAAACAATACATCTGCATGCAATACGGATACGATAAAGTTGTTGATATAATAAGCTTACTCAAACATGAGGTGGTTGGTTGCCACACTTTGCCATAATTAAGGTTAGATGACAAGTTTAATTATATTAGTAACTGTTTGGTTGTAGCCACAGCTGTGGTAAGATTCTCTTCCAACAAACTAGGTCTCACATGCCATTGACAAAAAAAAATATTACAAAATTGAAAATTCCCTTAGGCTTGCTAAGGTGCAGTCAAGAATTTGATCACCTTAAACTTATGTAAGTGTAATAATATTTGTTAGTAAACGGTGACAAAGTATGTGTAGATCTAAACATACCCTTAAACATACCTTTTCATTTAGATTCCGAGAAACTGTAGTTACAGAAATCAAAAAATAAACTAAGCTAGAATCTTAAGGTACCCAAATATATTTGGTACTAGTTTTAGCTGGGATCCTGCAAGATCACCATATGCCCATTCGTCCATATCCATGTCAGATGTCCTTGCCGTGATAAAAGATAGCTTCCGATCGAATAGACACTTAGCAACGCGGGCCGCGAGCAGGTCGGTCAGGATATTCTCAATTGTTCCCTAAATTTAAATTAGTCCTGGAATTTTCATGTACTACTAGTAGTATGTTTTTTTACCTTTTCTTTCATACATGTTCTTGTTCTTGACAGACAAACAAAGGCCGAGTTTAGTTACAAATTTTTCTTCGAACTTCCAACTCTTCTATCATATCAAAACTTTTCTACACACACAAACTTCCAACATTTCTATCACATCGTTCCAATTTAAACCAAACTTCCAATTTTAGCGTAAACTAAACACACCCAAATTAAACAAACCCTGAAAGGACTTGTATTTGGAGTAGGAGAGAAATTGGCACCCTGGGTCCGGGCGGGCCAGTGCCCATTTCTATTCCCAGCAGCGATCGACGTAGGCAGAACGCGCGCGGGCCATCCGATGCTCCCCTCTCGTCCCCTCCTCCTGCCTGCAAGCCAATAAAAACTCAGCTCAGGGTTAACACACGATTGCACGAACCAATGCATATGTAAGCAGAATTCAATGCATGTAGTAGGAGTAGCATAGCAATTGCAAATATGTGGAGCATTTGCATGATTGAGCACTTGGGGTCCCGGCCTGTCCCAGGGCCCTTTCCTATTCAATACCGTGATGGTCACAACTCACGCATCCACAAGCCCCTCATCATGATGCAGATTGTACTGCGCTGCGGCTGCGTACGTACAGCGCTCGAGTGATCGGGATCGGTCGATCGATCGACGCCGCAAGTTGGACTGCTCGCGAGCTAGCACTGTCGTTGGATCGATCGGCTGTAAATTCTGTGCCGTATAGCCATGAGAATTAATCGTCAAATCAGCAGCTAGCCAGTACTATTGGCTAAGTTTGCAGTAGACACTATAGATCAGACTATCAGAGAGGCTGGACCGCGGGCGGCAGGTGGTCGGCTGCCAATTCTAGCTCGGCAATTAATTTGGGCGTTTCTTCACATGATGTTATACACCACTAGCCTACTATACTCCACTACAGTAGCTAAGGTTTTAATCAGTGCTCTGCACGCGCGTAGTGGCACCGACCGGGGAGCCCGGCCGGCCGCTACTACATGCATGTGTGGAGTAGTACGTGCTTATTGTGTCATCGTCATGTACCAGTGTACGTGTGTACAGGAATAGTCTTGCGGCGCGCGCGCGTAGCTGAAGCAGTGTACTAATGATTACTCCTTCCGTCACAAAAATACTCCCTCCATCTACTTTTGATAGTCATATTTCCAAATCTGAAAAATTTATTTTTGATAGGCATATTTCAATCCAATAACCTGTCATCTTAATGACTTTCTCGGATTTAATGCGTGACTCTCCATTCTTCCACACAAGATTAGCTACATGGACATCGAGAAATATAAATATTAATGAATCGTTTGTTTATGAGGAATGACTAGTAGCATGTTTAAATGGATGATAAGTAGAATTATTTATCCTTGGTCTATGTGCCAAGATGAAATATGACTATCAAAAGTAGATGGAGGGTTCAGCACACAGACCAAGAATTAGTAATTCTACTTATCATCTATTTAAACATATGCTACTAGTCATTCCTCGTAAACAAGGGATTCATTAATATTTACATTTCTCGATGCCCATGCAGCCAATCTTGTGTAGAAGAATGAAAAGTCACGCATCAAATCCGAGAAAGTCATTAAGAGGATGGGTTGTTTGATTGAAATATGCCTATCAAAAATATTTTTTTTAGATTTGGAAATATGATTATCGAAAATAGATGGAGGGAGTAACAACTTTTAACCTTTAGAATTTGTTCCAAAATACTCTCTCCATCTACTTTTGATAGTCATATTTTATCTTGGCACACATACCAAGGATAAGTGATTCTACTTATCATCCATTTAAACATGCTATTAGTCATTCCTCGTAAACAAACGATTCATTAATATTTACATTTCTCAATGCCCATGTAGCCAATCTTATATAGAAGAATAAAGAGTCACGCATTAAATATAAGAAAGCCATTAAGATGATAAGTTGTTGGATTGAAATATGTCTATCAAAAATAAATTTTTCAGATTTAGAAATATGACTATCAAAATTAGATGGAGGCAGTATATAACAACTTCTCCATCAATATTTTCTTCTCAACCAATCACAACTCTCCACCATTCACTTTTCTCACCTACCTCCACTACTCATCCAATTACAATCCTCCACCACTAACTTCTACATTTTTTTATGAATAACG